CCTCCTCCTCCTCCTCCTCCTCCTCCTCCTCTTCTTTCCTCCTCTTCCTCTTCCTCCTCCACCACTCCTCCTCCTCCTCCTCCACCACCACCACCACTCCTCCTCCACCACCACTCCTCCTCCTTCTCCTCCTCCTCCTCCTCCTCCTCCTTCTCCTCCAGGCTGGCTCCAGCTTTTCATGTGGCTTTAAAGGAGCCTGCTACCAGCCTGCCTGCACCCAACATCAATACCTCTCTTTCTGATTGCTGCTATGATCCTCCCTCTCTGGAGAGAACAGCTCTGTTCTGCTCTCCGTGGTGGAAGGAGAGAGGGGTGGATGAGAGAGGGAGCAAGAGGGGGGAAGGAGAGAGGGAGGAACAGTAACAGGAGAGAGAAAAAAGAGGGGAGGGAGGAGGGAGAGCGAGAGACAGGGAGGAAAAAGGGAAAGTGAGCTAGAGAGCTCTGGGAGTCCCTGTTCACCCGCTGTCCAGTCCTGCTAAATGGAGATGAAACCATGTAACACTACGCTAGAATCACGGCTCAGCTCTGTCCAAAATGGCACCCTATAACCTATATAGTGCACTACTTTTGACCACAGCTCTATGGGCCCTGGTCAAAAGTAGTGCACTAAATAGGGAAAAGGGTGCCATTTGCGATGCAATCTCGGTTGGGGGATGAGCATGATGAGCGCTCTCATCTATGTCTTTATGCTACACTACTGTACTGACTACTACCCTACAGTACTGACTACTACCCTACAGTACTGACTACTACCCTACTGTACTGACTACTACCCTACAGTACTGACTACTACCCTACAGTGCTGACTACTACCCTACAGTACTGACTACTACCCTACAGTACTGACTACTACCCTACAGTACTGACTACTACCCTACGGTACTGACTACTACCCTACAGTACTGACTACTACCCTACAGTACTGACTACTACCCTACAGTACTGACTACTACCCTACAGTGCTGACTACTACCCTACAGTGCTGACTACTACCCTACAGTACTGACTACTACCCTACAGTACTGACTACTACCCTACAGTACTGACTACTACCCTACGTACTGACTACTACCCTACAGTACTGACTACTACCCTACAGTACTGACTACTACCCTACAGTACTGACTACTACCCTACAGTACTGACTACTACCCTACGTACTGACTACTACCCTACAGTACTGACTACTACCCTACAGTCGCTCTGACTACTACCCTACAGTACTGACTACTACCCTACAGTACTGACTACTACCCTACAGTACTGACTACTACCCTACAGTACTGACTACTACCCTACTGTACTGACTACTACCCTACAGTACTGACTACTACCCTACTGTACTGACTACTACCCTACAGTACTGACTACTACCCTACAGTCCTGACTACTACCCTACAGTACTGACTACTACCTACTCCACATACCCTACAGTACTGACTACTACCACAGTACACACCTACGTCCTGACTACTACCCTACAGTACTGACTACTACCCTACAGTACTGACTACTACCCTACAGTACTGACTACTACCCTACAGTACTGACTACTACCCTACAGTCCTGACTACTACCCTACAGTCCTGACTACTACCCTACAGTCCTGACTACTACCCTACAGTACTGACTACTACCCTACAGTACTGACTACTACCCTACAGTACTGACTACTACCCTACAGTACTGACTACTACCCTACTGTACTGACTACTACCCTACTGTACTGACTACTACCCTACAGTACTGACTACCACACTGCTGTACTGACTACTACAGTAGTGGGTCACTATGTTGCACTACATACGATCCAGTCAATCTTTCATGGTTCACTATGTTGCACTACATACGATCCAGTCAATCGTTATTTTCTCTGTCTCCTCCTTTTCCTCCTCAATAAAGCCCCCGTGCCTTAATTACAACCTGCCTCCCTTATATCGTTTTAACTGTTCGTCTTGGGTGATTTGCTTTTCCACTTTCTTGAAGATGTCAAAGCCTCCACAGATATACATTTGACTCAGGCTACATGAGTTACTTTATTAACTAGTAGCCAAAACTGCATCCCAAATTGCACCCCTATTTCCTATGTAGTGCACTATTATTATTTTTTAAAACCAGATCCCTGTGGTAGTAGTGCGCTATATAGGAAATAGCAGGGGTTCGCACACCTTTTTGGGGGCCGGGGACCCCTTTTGTGATAGCAAATTCATCATCCAGGACCCCCCTCATCATCAACTCGATTGAGAGGAGAAAGAAAGTAGAACATTGGCAGTGCATGGCCGAGCGAACCATGTCTCGGGCCCTGGGAAGGAATATTTAAAAGGCATCAGCCTCTTGGCATCAGAGAGAGAGAAAAACATTCAGTTTTCAAGCTAATATCCTGCAATTCTACACATTTTGCCACGAGGCAGAGAGAAAGAAAGTTTTAAAGCTTGTTCCAAAAAAACGTTTTTTTTTTTTACAGGGGAATACAATACGTTTTGACTTAGAAAAATGCATAATTGGTGGAGTACTGTGGATACCAATATCCCCTCAGAGCCTCCCAGGCCCATGTTGCCCAGGGTTAAGAACTGCTCCCACCGTTGACTTATTCAAACCAAGCTGCTTACCTATTGCAGATTCAGTCTTCCCAGCCTGGTGCATGTCTACAATTTTGTTTCTGGTGTCCTTTGACAGCTCTTTGGTCTTGGCCATAGTGGAGTTTGGCGTGTGACTGTTTGAGGTTGTGGACAGGTGTCTTTTATACTGATAACAAGTTCAAACAGGTGCCATTAATACAGGTAACGAGTGGAGGACAGAGGAGCCTCTTAAAGAAGAAGTTACAGGTCTGTGAGAGCCAGAAATCTTGCTTGTTTGTAGGTGACCAAATACTTATTTTCCACCATAATTTGCAAATAAATTCATTAAAAATCCTACAATGGGATTTTCTGAAGAAAAAAATTCTCATTATGTCTGTCATAGTTCACGTGTATCTATGATGAAAATTACAGGCCTCTCTCATCTTTTTAAGTGGGAGAACTTGCACAATTGGTGGCTGACTAAATACTTTTTTTCCCCACTGTATATGTCATATTTTTGCATTGTAATTTCAGATCATTGTCCTTAAGTTAATGTATCTACAGTAATAGTGGAATCATCTATTACGGACCATCTCTTGTTGTCAAATCGACTGGGGCCAGCAAATCCCTTTTTGTCAAATTGACTGGGGCCGAGTGATTTCTACATGTTTGACGCTTGCCCTTTTACGAAGCATGTGACAAATAAAATGTGATTTGATTTGATTTTGCTGGCCCCAGTCAATTTGATAACAGAGACGGTCCATCTTTTGTTGAACAATAAGAAGAATGCAATTTTGTGTGTGTCCAATATATTATTTGGGGGGGAAATATTGTGAAACACTATCATTCCACTATTACTGTATATATTAAAATACATTTTTTAAGAACATTTTCAAAAATTACAATGCATAAATATTACATAGCTCATTTTAATATTATTACACTGAACAAAAATATAAACGCAACATGGAATAATTTCAAAGATTTATAAGGAAATCAGTCAATTGAAATAAATTCATTAGGCCCTAATCTATGGATTTGACATGACTGGGAATACAGATATGCCTCTGTTGGTCACAGACACCTTAAAAAAAAGGTAGGGGTGTGGATCAGAAAACCAGTCAGTATCTGGTGTGACCACCATTTGCCTCATGCAGTGTGACACATCTCCTTCGCATAGAGTTGATCAGGCTGTTGATTGTGGGCTGTGGAATGTTGTCCTACTCCTCTTCAATGGCTGTGCGAAGTTGCTGGATATTGGCAGGAACTGGAACACGCCGTCGTACACGTCGATCCAGATAATCCCAAACATGCTCAATGGGTGACATGTCTGGTGAATATGCAGGCCATGGAAGAACTGGGACATTTTCAGAGACATTTTTAGCTTCCAGGAATTGTGTACAGATCCTTGCGACATGGGGCCGTGCATTATCATGCTGAAACATGAGGTGATGGTGGCGGATGAATGGCACGACACCCCTGCCTCAGGATCTCGTCACGGTATCTCTGTACATTAAAAATGCAATTGTGATTGTTGTCCGTAGCTTATGCCTGCCCATAGCATAACCCCACCGCCACGATGGGGCACTCTGTTCACAAAACCACTCACCCACACGACAACATTGGTACAGTTGAAACCGTTGATTCATCCATGAAGAGCACACTTCTCCAGCGTGCCAGTGGCCATCAAAGGTGAACACTTTAGTCGGTTACGACGCCGAACTGCAGTCAGGTCAAGACCCTGGTGAGGATGACGAGCACGCAGATGAGCTTCCCTGAGACGGTTTCTGACAGTTTGTGCAGAAATTCTTCGGTTGTGGCAAACCCACAGTTTCATCAGCTGTCCGGGTGGGCTGTCATACTGCCAAATTCTCTAAAACTATGTTGGAGGCGGCTTATGGTAGTGAACATGAAATTCTCTAGCAACAGCTCTGGTGGACATTCCTGCAGTCAGCATGCCAATTGCACGCTCCTTCAAAAACTTAAGACATTTATGGCTTTGTGTTGTGTGACAAAACGGAACATTTTAGAGTGGCCTTTTATTGTCCCCGGCACAAGGTGCACATGTGTAATGATCATGCTGTTTATTCAGCTTCTTGATATGCCACAACTGTCAGGTGGATGGATTATCTTGGCGAAGCAGAAAGTCTCACTAACAGGGGATGTAAGCAAATTTGTGCACAAAATTTGAGAGGGATAAGCTTTTTGTGAGTATGGAACATTTCTGTGATCTTTTATTTCAGCTCATGAAACCTGGGACCAACACTTTACATGTTGCGTTTACATTTTTGTTCAGTGTATATATATATATATATACATTGAAATCTTGCCACGGACCCCCTGCTGTACCTCCGCGGACTGTTCGAATTTTACAGTCGTAGCCCTAGCCTATATCATGACTCTCCCTGGGTGAGGATCAAAGGCCTCATATCAGCTTGGCAAATGGCCGACAACAACCAGACCCTCTTACCCACAGGGGGCGCTGTGCCGGTCTTGACACGTTAACACTGCCATCAATTAGAGAGGAGGAGGATCTATGTCTGGCATCCTAGTATGGTGAAAGGAATGCCTTTGTTTCAGAGACTTTTTGCCTCCCAAAAAACTTCAACATCCAACAATGAACATTGGGACAATATATTTCAACATCCAAACGTTGGGAATGATGAGATATGGAAAATGAATGTCTATTTTGTGATGTCATTAAAAATGGCGTTATAAGGAAAACATTGTGACTTGAAGAGCTTTTCCACTGTGGATATCAGATTTACATCCTTTACCTTGGGTAGAAAATATCAAGGAGGAAGACAATGTTTTCATGAAGATAGGAATGTGATTTTAGCTTTCTAACAACATCATAGTGATGATAATACTTTCGCCTCGTAACTAGCCCCGCCCGAGGGAGCTCAGAGAGCGTGTCAGTATGACGGGAACGCCCCTCTTTACCTGAGTGCATAAAAGACTGAGATAAGAATGATCAGATCAGACTAGACGGACCTCAAGCTGCAGCTTTTGTCCATATTGGTCCCCAACCCTGAAAATCAACACGAGGTGAAGACGACAAAGTTGCCTCCACTAACAATCAACGTTACGGCTGAGTAGCTGTTCTAAGTACTGTATCTAAGAAGGTGAAATTTAAGTGGGACCATCCTGTTACTCTCTTCAAACCATCGTCTACTACACTGCTCTCATCACGCCACAGGGGATCATCGACAAGACAACCGTCCTCAGAAGACCACTTCCAGAACGAGTGAAAGTAAACAGATAACTAAGAAGAAGGACATTGTAACCTCTTGTGGACAATCTGAGCCTTACATCTAAAAAGCCATCCGAAAGAGAAGGCCCGAATCGACCCCTTCCCACGAAGGCCTGGGTCCAACAGAGATACACGACGAAGACCTCCAACACGTAAATACATGAATTGCTTTTCTTCCCAAACGGGCGGCAGTTCGGGGCAAAGTATTAGGATTACTGTGAGTTTAGGTCCATGTGTATCCAAGTGTTTTCTCTCTCTCTCTTTTTAACTGGCCATCTTTTGTAACAAGTGTCATATTGTGTTAATCCGCTAGGGACCCGTTTTCATTGTGTTAAGTTTCTAATTCCTACCTATACCGTGTACGTGTTTGTGTCTTGTGTTATAATTTAATTAGTTAGTAAATAAGTTAGTTAGTTAGTTAGTAAATAAATAATTAAATCGATTTGTGTGGGACGGAATGATCAGTAAGACCCGGGTTCGTGCAGACTTAAAGAGCCTACGACTTTCAGAATGAGACTGATATGGTACATTATTAATAAATGACTGTTAAACGATAAGAGATATCTAGATATCTTTAGAGTTAATTCGGGAAACTCGCAGACACTTCAATCCAAAGCGACTTACAGTAATGCATGCATACAGTGCATTCGGAAAGTATTCATAGCCCGTGAATGTCCCGGACTTGAACCTGATTGAACATCTCTGGAGAGACCTGAAAATAGCTGTGCAGCGACGCTCCCCATCCAACCTGACATAGCTTGAGAGGATCTGCAGAGAAGAATGGGTGAAACTTCCCAAATACAGGTGTGCCAAGCTTGTAGCGTCATACCCAAGAAGACTCGAGGCTGTAATCGCTGCCAAAGGTGCTTCAACAATGTACTGAGTGAAGGGTCTGAATACTTATGTAAATGTGATATTTCTGTTTTTAATTTTTAATACATTTGCAAACATTTCTAAAATCCTGTTTTTGCTTTGTCATAATGGGATATTGTATGTAGATTGATGAGGGGGAAAAAACAATATAATCAATTTTAGAATAAGGCTGTAACGTAACAAAATGTGGAAAAAGTCAAGGGGTCTAAATACTTTCTGAATGCACTGTATATTTTCGTACAGGTGGCCTCAGCGGGAATCATACCCGCAACCTTTGATCTACCGCTCAGATTTTATTTTAAACATGACTTAAAAACCAATTAGCAACAGTTCTGTAGCAATGAGGTTTGTGCAGTAGGCTATAGGCTCATCGCATATTGGCTATGCTTGAATTACCCTGCCAATGATATTCTTCTCAGACCATTTTGAAATTTATATATATATTTTTTAAATGGGTTTATGATCACACTGGTAATAGATCATTTGTTGTATTACTTGTCAGGCCCAGCTGAGTGAACATAATAATTTGCTTCTTTTTTTTTTCTTTTTTTTACTGGACTGATGGCCTTCATCTGCTGCCTCTCACCGTCCCTCTGCTGAGAAATGGGGGCACGGTCCAGCTGATGGCAAACCTAAAGTCGCACTGCATTATTTCTGCCTCATGCACCAATTCATGTTATTACTCCTATGACCAGAGAAAGTGAAATATTCCTCGATATTAAAAACAAAAAGACACAAGCCGCTAATAATAACAACGCAAGCTTATCAGAACTGTCATGTATGTACATGAACTTACCTGAGGGTGGCGCTGTTACTAATTACTACGTGTGATCATCTGTACTTGCGCTTGACATCTGATAAACAGTGTTCTTCTACCCGCATCCCCTGCCTCAGTGTGCTAATACACTGCTCAAAAAAAATAAAGGGAACACTAAAATAACACATCCTAGATCTAAAGCATCCGCCAACGCCTGGACAGTCTGTGGTGCTAATAGATTACATGGTGTCAGAAGTCAAAAAGTAATAATAATAATATGCCATTTAGCAGACGCTTTTATCCAAAGCGACTTACAGTCATGTGCGCATACATGTTTTACGTATGGGTGGTCCCGGGGATCGAACCCACTACCCTGGCGTTACAAGCGCCATGCTCTACCAATTGAGCTACAGAGGACCAACATTCCGAAACATGAAACAAATGAGAACCAACTACTCTGAACCTAGAGGGAAATCTAGCCGAAAATTGGAGAGTGTGGATCCAGAGATTAAACCTTTTATATCATCGCCAGCGGCATCTCCCAAGAAATCAGAAAAAGTGAAATGTGCCACCTTCCTGCACGTAGCCGGAGATGATGCAATCAAGGTATTCCATACCTTTTTGATTTTGACGATGACGTAGATTACTTGGATGTATTGAAAGAGCTTTTCCGAACGTACTGTGAGCCAAGAAAATATCTGACGTACCTGAGGAATATCTTTTTTACGAGAGTGCAAGGACAAACAGAGTCAATTTGATGCTTATGTTTCTGATCTAAAAAAATAAAGCAAAAGACTGTGAGTTTCAACAACTTACCGAGTCACTGATACGGGACAGAATTGTGTGTGGAATCACCAATGACCAAGTGCGAGGCAGATTACTCCGAGAACCAGATGTCCTGCTAGCTAGAGCAATAGACGTTTGCCGTGCTAGTGAAGTGAGCCAGAGCCAGCTGAAAATACTTAGTGATGAAGTCGAGATTCACAAGGTACATAAGCAAAAGAAAACAAAAAAAAAGACAAAGACCGTGCCCAGCTAGTAAAAGACAGGTCGCAGGGAGAATGCTCACGTTGTGGGTACAAACATGAACCAAAAAAGTGTCCAGCATACGGTCAGATATGCAAAGCATGTCACAGAAAAAAGAATTACGCCAAAATGTGCTCCTCACGCACACGGACAGAAAACCGGAGGATTCACGGCATTGACAGGGAGGTGACAGCAGGAAATGAGGACATGTTCATTGGGACAATTGAAGTGAAACAGAGTGAAGTACAATGTGTAGCTCAGCTAGTGAATATCAATGAGAAAAATACTGAGAGAGAGCAGTGGACGGAAACACTGAAAATAAACAACCAGAAACGTACTGTTAAGCTGGATACAGGAGCTGAGTGTAATGTCTTGTCCGTGAGAGACTTGAAAACTGTGAAAGTGAAGGGCGATTCCATGCAAAAATCCAACTGCAAGCTAGTGACATATTTTGGCCACCAGATGGAGCCAAAAGGCAAAAAAAACACTCAAACGTCAATACATTTTTTTATTTTTTTTATTTTTAGTCATTTAGCAGACGCTCTTATCCAGAGCGACTTACAGTTAGTGCATACATTATTTTTTGTATTTTTCATACTGGCCCCCCGTGGGAATCAAACCCACAACCCTGGCGTTGCAAACGCCATACTCTACCAACTGAGCTACATCCCTGCCGGCCATTCCCTCCCCTACCCTGGACCAATTGTGCGCCGCCCCATGGGTCTCCCGGTCGCGGCAGGCTACGACAGAGCCTGGATTCGAACCAGGATCTCTAGTGGCACAGCTAGCACTGCGATGCAGTGCCTTAGACCGCTGCGCCACTCGGGAGGTTAACATTTACATTTTACATTTTAGTCATTTAGCAGACGCTCTTATCCAGAGCGACATACAGTTAGTGAGTGCATACCTTTTTCATAGTGGCCCCCCGTGGGAATCGAACCCACAACTCTGGCGTTGCAAGCGCCATGCTCTACCAACTGAGCTACACGGGACCGTGTACAATACAAAGAGAAAGTGTTTGAACTGGAATTTCAAGTGATAGAACAAGATGCCCCTGCAATACTTGGAAGATCAGCTTGTATGCAAATAGGCAGTGGTGGAAAAAGTACCCAATTGTCATACTTGAGTAATAGAAGTATAGATACCTTAATCGAAAGTTACTCAAGTAAAAGTGAAAGTCACCCAGTAAATTACTACTTGAGTAAAACTCTAAAAGTATTTGGTAAAATATATTTAAGTATCAAAAGTAAAAGTAAAAAAATATAAAGCAAACCAGATGGCACCTTTTTCTTGTTTTTAAAATGTACGGATAGCCAGGGTCACACTCCAACACTCAGACATTATTTAAAAAAGATGCATTTGTGTTTAGTGAGTCCGCCAGAACATAGGCAGTAGGGATGACCACGTGTTCTCTTGATAAGTGCGTGAATTTCACAATTTCCCTGTTCTGCTAAGCAGTCGAAAAGTAATGAGTACTTTTGGGTGTCAGGAAAAATGTATGGAGTAAAAACTACAACATTTTCTTTAGGAATGTAGTGAAGTAAAAGTAAAAGTTGTCAAAAATATAAATAGTAAAGTACAGATACCCAAAAAAAACTACCTAAGTAAAAATACTTTAAAGTACTACTTAGGTACTTTACACCACTGCAAATGGGCTTAATACAGAGAATATTCAAGCTTGAACAAAGGACAGAGACTGACATTTTGAGTGAATATGAAGATTTATTCACAGGACTTGGACGTGTTCCAGGAGTTCATCACATACAAATAGACCCAGAAGTCACACCAGTGGTTCACTCGCCCAGTGCTGTGCCTTTAGCACTAAAAGGATACACTTAAAAAGGAACTGAACCGCATGGGAAACATGGGCGTCGGCGTCAGGCAGACTGAGCCTACTGAATGGGTAAACAGCTTGGTGACAATCGTGAAGCCAAACAAAATACGGGTATGCATGGACCCACAGGATCTAAACAAAGCCATCAAGAGAACTCTGACATTTCTTGATCATCTGTACTTGCACTTGACCCATGGCATCTGATAAACATTGTTCTTCTACCCGCATCCCTGCCTCAGTGGGCTAACATATTACAAGAACACTTTGCTATACTCATCCATTGCAAAGTTTTGAATTCTCACAGTATAAACTTTGCTGTGCCTTCGAGGTTTATTTTTAACGGTCTATGGCTCGAGGAAACTGTGCAGACACGATGATTTGAGCTATCTGATTGGCCAGTGGTAGGGCTATAGGTGCACTTGATTTTCTCTCTGGGCATGCCGGGTAGGCTGTTCTACCTTAATAAAATAGGAACGGAAAGGCTTTATCGTTGTTGTTTTTTTACAGAAGTGCTTGGTGATCGATCACGATCACGATCGACCGGTTGGTGACCACTGCCCTAACAGATAGAGAAAACACTTGTTGGTTGATTAAACTAACGGCCTGTAGGGTTAATGAAACTAACGGCCTCTAGGGTTAATGAAACTAACTAACGGTTTGTAGGGTTGATGAAACTAACTAACGGCCTGTAGGGTTTTGTGAATGGAGCCAGAGCCAGGCTAAGGAGGGGAACGCCCTGGAGGCTGAGCTCACTGAAAGTATTCATCAGCTTCTGCTTTGGTTTTCCATTCAGGCATATCGTTTCTATTTATAGTCTCTGCTTAGTCAGAATAGTTTTTTTGTTGATGACCGTCAGTTGGAGGTTTGACAGATCAAAACAGATTAGCAAAATGTGAGGATGGTTGTTTTAGCAGTTAGGCCTAGCTTAGTAATAGTGTATGTAGCAATGAGAAGGATTTCTGCCTGGTAACTATCACTAAGAGATGAAGCGATGGATTTGTCCGTAGAGATTTTAGTTTAATCTATGGTTCAGTAAATGTTTTCCCACACTTTCTCGCACTGTCTGTCTCACACACTCACTCACTCTATCTATCACACTCTCTCTCTTACTCTCTCTGACATTATACATTTACATTTTAGTCATTTAGCAGACGCTCTTATCCAGAGCGACTTACAGTTAGTGAGTGCATACATTTTTATTTTTTTATACTGGAATCGAACCCACAACCCTGGCGTTGCAAATGCCATGCTCTACCAACTGAGCTACATCCCTGCCGGCCATTCCCTCCCCTACCCTGGACGACGCTGGGCCAATTGTGCGCCGCCCCATGGGTCTCCCGGTCGCGGCCGGCTATGTCTCTCTCTTTCTCTTGCTCTCAGCTGTGTGTAGCAGACTGCCAGTCCCATAATAGTTGTCTGGACAGACAGCGTTCCAGTGATAGGCCACACCCCCTCCTGACGAGTAGACAGAGGGAGGAGTCAGTTTCCGCCCATACATACACCTGACAGATCACACACACCACACCCCTCCTCTCACCCTAACACACCACACCCCTCCTCTCGCCTCTTTATAAACCACACCTCTCTTCTCTCCTCCTCTCGCTTTGTTTTCAAACCAAACCCCTCTTCTCTCCCCCTCTCACCCTAGCAAACCAAACCTCGCTCCTCCTCTCACCCTAGCAAACCAAACCTCGCTCCTCCTCTCACCCTAACAAACCACACCTCTCCTCCTCTCACTGTAACAAACCACACCTCTCTTTTCTCTTCCTCTCTCCTCTTCCTCTTCCTCTCATCTCATCTCATCTCTCCTCTCTCTCCTCTCTCTCTCTCCTCCCTTCTCTCCTCCTCTCCTCTCCTCTCCTCTCCTCTCCTCTCTCCAAAACATTCCAATTTTCACTGTTTCCACCTCCATGGCCACTGTTGTGTAAAGAAAGGCAGGCTGTCAGAAATAGCCCAAACCCACGAGGCATGGGGCTTCACTTCTAAACATTGTATCAAAAAAAACAAAAAACAAAACACTTGGGCTAATCTCCGTAGTATTGCAGGCAGTTTTAATGTCACTTCACCATGATGTCATGTATCTGGCATCTCTCTGACATTTGTCCCATCGTCCCTCTGTCTCTCTTCCAGGTGCAGCTGCAGGTGCACCCCAACCTGTCGGCCAAGGAGGGAGCTCTGCAGCACATCGAGGAGCTCATCCTGCAGCTGCTCAACATGCTGTGTGTGGCCCAGCCCCGCTCTGTACAGGACGTGGAGGTGAGGATACCTGATCATTAGTTCTAAGTACCAGTAATGCCTCAACTGAAAGTGCTTCTAAGTACCAGTAATGCCTCAACTGAAAGTGCTTCTAAGTACCAGCAACGCCTCAACTGAAAGTGCTTCTAAGTACCAGCAATGCCTCAACTGTAACTATTTCTAAGTACCAGCAATGCCTCAACTGTAACTATTTCCAAGTACCAGCAATGCCTCAACTGTAACTATTTCTAAGTACCAGCAAGGCCTCAACTGAAAGTGCTTCTAAGTACCAGCAACGCCTCAACTGAAAGTGCTTCTAAGTACCAGCAATGCCTCAACTGTAACTATTTCTAAGTACCAGCAATGCCTCAACTGTAACTATTTCCAAGTACCAGCAATGCCTCAACTGTAACTATTTCTAAGTACCAGCGAAGCCTCAACTGAAAGTGTTTCAAACTACTAACAAGGCCTTAATTGAAAGTATTTGGGCAATTCCACGGTAACGGAATTACGCTTTGACTCCATTTTGTCACTTTAACATGTATGCCAAACAAAAAACATTGATTTCAAAGTTTATCAAATCGGGACTACTTTTAACAATTTCCACCGAAGAATTTACAAAAACTACTTTTGTGAAAGAACTGTGCAGATGCAAACTTTGGTAACGGAATTACGGTAAAATCTCCCTCATGTTTTTATGCGACCACGTGTTCCAGAAACTCTTAAATATCTGCCCTGAATTAAGATTCAAAGATGTCTGCAGAAAGAATGGGGTGTCAGCTATTTGGTTATTGAACTACAGTAAGTGAAGTGGATTTACACCCTGTAACGGCATTACGGTAACGGAATTACATCATGGGTCCCCATGGGTACTACATAGAAATGCATCATTATGGATATGAATGTCATTCTCCTCAAGTTTCACAAGTTTGGATATCACAGCGCAAAATAGTACAGTGCAGTACAATACAGTAGAGTAGAGTAGAGTTCAGTACAGTATTTATTAGGGATCCCCACTCTTCCAAACACATTAAGACACGTCACACAAAAAACAAAAAAATCATACAGTAAATCATATAACATTATTACACCACTACATACACTACCGTTCAAAAGTTTGGGGTCACTTAGAAATGTCCTTGTTTTCGAAAGAAAAGCAATATTTTTGTCCATTAAAATAACATCAAATTGATCAGAAATACAGTGTAGTCATTGTTAATGTTGTAAATGGCTATTGTAGCTGAAAACGGCTGATTTTTAGTGGAATATCTTGATGGGCGTACAGAGGCCCATTATCAGCAACCATCAGTCCTGTGTTCCAATGGCACGTTGTGTTTGCTAATCCAAGTTTATCATTTTAAAAGGCTAATTGATCATTAGAAAACCCTTTTGCAATTATGTTAGCACAGCTGAAAACCATTGTGCTGATTTAAATAAGCAATAAAACTGGCCTTCTTGAGACTAGTTCAGTATCTGGAGCATCAGCAATTGTTGGTTCGATTACAGGCTCAAAATGGCCAGAAACAAATAACTTTCTTCTGAAACTCGTCAGTCTATTCTTGTTCTGAGAAATGAAGGCTGAAGAAATTGCCAAGAAACTGAAGATCTCGTACAACGCTGTGTACTAATCCCTTCACAGAACAGCGCAAACTGTCTCTAACCAGAATAGAAAGAGGAGTAGGAGGCCCCGGTGAACAACTGAGCAAGAGGACAAATACATTAGAGTGTCTAGTTTGAGAAACAGACGCCTCACAGGTCCTCAACTGGCAGCTTCATTGAATAGTACCCGCAAAACACCAGTCTCAACGTCAACAGTGAAGCGGCGACTCCGGGATGCTGACCTTCTAGGCAGAATTGCAAAGAAAAAGCCATATCTCAGACTGGCCAATAAAAAAAAAAGATTAAGATGGGCAAAAGAACACAGACACTGGACAGAGTTGTTGTTTCTCAAACTAGACACTAATGTATTTGTCCTCTTGCTCAGTTGTGCACGGGGGCCTCCCACTTCTCTTTTTATTCTGGTTAGAGCCAGTTTGCATTGTAGAATAATAGTGAAAACATCAAAACTAACATAATCATATGTGTTTGTGTGTTTCTTCACAGTCCGCGTTGTTCCATAAGGTGTAGTCTTATGTTATTTCTACTGCTTGCATCAGTTACCTGGTGTGGGATAGAGTTCCATGTAGTCATGGCTCTGTGTAGCCACTGTACATTTCCCGGAGTCTGTTCTGGACTTGGTGACTGTGAAGAGACCCTTGGTGGTATGTCTTGTGGGCTATGCATGAGTATCCGAGCTGTGTGCTAGTTCGGTGCTTTTCAACATGTCAATACCTCTCACAAAGACAAGTAGTGATGCATGTCAATCTCTCCTCTACTTTGAGCCAGGAGAGATTGACATGCGTGTTATTGATGTTAGCTCTCCGTGTATGTTTTAAGGGGCCGGCCGTGCTGCCCTGTTTCTGGGCCAACTGTAATTTGTCTATGTCCTTTGAGGCACTTGACCAAATGACTTGGCAGTAGTCCAGGTGTGACAAAACTAGAGCCTGTAGGGCTTGTTTTGTTGATAGCAATGTCAAGAAAGCAAGCTGCACTTAATTACGGACAGACATATCCTCATCTTAGCTACCGTTGCATCAATATATTTTGACCATGACAGTTTACAATTCAGGGTTACACCAAGCAGTTTAGTCTCCCCAACTCCCCAATTTCCACATTATTCACATTATTCATTACAAGATTTAGTTGGGGTTTAGTGAATGATTTGTCCCAAATACAATGCTTTTAGTTTTTGAAATATTTAGTACTAGCTTATTACTTGCCACCAATGTTCCCTCCCATTCTGAAACTGACTGCAGCTCTTTGTTAAGTGTTGCAATGATTTAACTTGCTGTGGTAGCTGACATGTATAATGTTGAGTCATCAGCAAATATATTCAGTGCCAGTGACAGGTCATTAGTAAAGATTGAAAAAAGTAAGGGGCCCAGACAACTGCCCTGGGGAATGCCCGACTCGACCTGGATTGTTGGAGAGGCTTCCATTAAAGAACACCCTCTGTGTTCTGTTAGACAGGTAACTCTTTATCCACAATATAGCAGGGGATGTAAAGCCATAGCACATGTTTTTCTAGCAGCAGATTATGATCGATAATGTCAAAAGCCTTACTGAAGTCCAACAAAACAGCTCCCACAAGCTTCTTATTATCAATTTCTATCAGCCAATCATCAGTCATTTGTGTAAGTGCCGTACATGTTGAATGCCCTTCCCTATAAGCTGAAAGTCAGTTGTTAATTTGTTTACTGTTAAATAGCAATGTATCTGGTCAAACACAATTTGTTCCAAAAGTTTACTACGGGTTGGTAACAGGCTGATTGGTCAGCTAGTTGAGCAAGTAAAGGGTGCTTTGCTATTCTTGGGTAGCGGAATGTCTTTTGCTTCCCTCAATGCCAGAGGGCATACACTTTCCTGTATGCTTAGATTGAAGAGATGGCAAATAGGAGTGGCAAAATAGTCCACTATCATCCTCAGTCATTTTCCATCCAAGTTGTCAGACCCTGGTGGCTTGTCATTGTTGATAGACAACAATACTTTTTTCACCTCTTCCACACTCACTTTATGGAATTCAAAATTACAATGTTTGTCTTTCATAATTTGGTCAGATATGGATGTGAAGGTTCAGAGTTTGTTGCTGGCATGTCATGCCTAAGTTTGCTAATCTTGCCAAGGAAAAAATATTTAAAGTAGTTGGCAATATCAGTGGGTTTTGTGATGAATGAGCCATCTGATTCAATGAAGGATGGAGCTGAGTTATTATTTTTGCCCCAAATTTAATTTAAAGGGATCCTTCGGGATTTTGGCAATGAAGCCCTTTATCTATTTCCCCAGAGTCAGATGAACTCATGGATACCATGTTTATGTCTCTGCGTGCAGTTTGAAGGAAGTTGTTGTCAAAGGACACCAGAAAGGACACCAGAAACAAAATTGTAGACCTGCACCAGGCTGGGAAGACTGAATCTGCAATAGGTAAGCAGCTTGGTTTGAAGAAATCAACTGTGGGAGCAATTATTAGGAAATGGAAGACATACAAGACCACTGATAATCTCCCTCGATCTGGGGCTCCACGCAAGATCTCACCCCGTGGGGTCAAAATGATCACAAGAACGGTGAGCAAAAATCCCAGAACCACTCGGGGGGACCTAGTGAATGACCTGCAGAGAGCTGGGACCAAAGTAACAAAGCCTACCATCAGTAACACACTACGCCGCCAGGGACTCAAATCCTGCAGTGCCAGATGTGTCCCCCTGCTTAAGCCAGTACATGTCCAGGCCCGTCTGAAGTTTGCTAGAGTGCATTTGGATGATCCAGAAGAGGATTGGGAGAATGTCATATGGTCAGATGAAACCAAAATAGAACTTTTTGGTAAAAACTCAACTCGTCATGTTTGGAGGACAAAGAATGCTGAGTTGCATCCAAAGAACACCATACCTACTGTGAAGCATGGGGGTGGACACATAATGCTTTGGGGCTGTTTTTCTGCAAAGGGACCAGGACGACTGATCCGTGTAAAGGAAAGAATGAATGGGGCCATGTATCGTGAGATTTTGAGTGAAAACCTCCTTCCATCAGCAAGGGCATTGAAGATGAAACGTGGCTGGGTCTTTCAGCATGACAATGATCCCAAACACACCGCCCGGGCAACGAAGGAGTGGCTTCGTAAGAAGCATTTCAAGGTCCTGGAGTGGCCTAGCCAGTCTCCAGATCTCAACCCCATAGAAAATCTTTGGAGGGGGTTGAAAGTCTGTGTTGCCCAGCGACAGCCCCAAAACATCACTGCTCTAGAGGAGATCTGCATGGAGGAATGGGCCAAAATACCAGCAACAGTGTGTGAAAACCTTGTGAAGACTTACAGAAAACGTTTGACCTGTGTCATTGCCAACAAAGGGTATATAACAAAGTATTGAGAAACTTTTGTTATTGACCAAATACTTATTTTCCACCATAATTTGCAAATAAATTCATTAAAAATCCTACAATGTGATTTTCTCATTTTGCCTGTCATAGTTGACGTGTACATATGATGAAAATTACAGGCCTCTCTCATCTTTTTAAGTGGGAGAACTTGCACAATTGGTGGCTGACTAAATACTTTTTTCCCCCACTGTACCTATAACTTATTTTATACTGGACACCAGTGGCGTGTATTCATGGTTGCCAAGGGAAACCAGGCATCCCCCCCCAAAAAAGGATAAATAAAAATTAAATACAATTATTTATCTTTAGTCTCTCTGTGTTTTGTCATTTTCCTTCAATTCGCAAGAGGCTGTACGTATCGCACAGTAGAAAGCATCAGAGCGAGCGGAACAGCGCCCCTCTGTCTCTCTACGTGTAGGCCATCTATCTGATGCTGTCTGGTCCAAACGAGTTTGACATTGTTGCTGCCCGTAGCATTGAAGGCAAGGGAAGCCAGCGAGTATCTGGCTTCCCTTGACAAAAAAAAGTATACAAAATTAGCCAATCTGCGTTAAGCTAAACTGAGCGAGCTGACTATAAACTGCCCGATTGTCCCTCCCGGACAAGTATGACGGGACTCCATCCAAATGCCGTGGCTTCCTACTCCAGTGCTCCCTCTTTTTCGCTCATCAGACGGGAGCCCCCACCACAGAGAGGTCCAAGGTTGCCACAGTCCCTACTGACCAGGCGGGCGTCAGTGTGGGCTACAGCCATCTGAGAGAGAGGAGAGGAGGAGTTCGAGAGGTTCATGGTTCTGTTCAGGGTGGTCTTCGACCATCCACCGGAGGGCAGAGAGGGAGGTGAGCGACTATTTCAACTCCGGGGGGACCCAGAACGGAGTACGCCCTCACCTTCCGGAGCGTGGCAGTCTCCAGCGGATGGAACGAACCGGCGCTCTGCACCCTATTCCGTAGAGGACTATGCGAGGACGTCCAGATGGAATTGGCGTGCCGGGGACAACAACCTTTCCTTGGACGCGCTCATCGCGATGGCCATCCGTCTGGACAACCTCCTTCAGGAGCGCCGGCACCTCCTTCGCCCCTTGCCCTCCTCCTTTGGCTGTCCTGAGGCAAAGCCTGAACCCATGGAGATAGGGGTCACACACCTCTCCACGGCAGAGGGGTGTCGCCGGAGACAGCTGGGGCAATGTTCCTATTGCGGCCAGGGGGGGCACCAGCCCCAGCCCGAGGTCCACTAGGGCAGAGGGGACGGCCCTGTGATGGCTGGCTCCGTCTCCCAGGGTAGGCGTGAGTATTCCTCCTTCATCGTTTTCCACCAAACCCTTCCTGGTTTCCTATTTCACTCTCTGGCTGTCCCTCAGGTGTTGTCTCTACTGCTCTAGTGGACTCCGGTGCCGCTGGGAATTTCATCGACCAGACCCTCGTCTCCTCCCTGAACATCACCTCATACCCGCTCTCCTTTTCTGGTCCAAGCCCTGGATAATCGACCATTAGGATCCGGCTCTATCACGCACATCACAGCACCACTCACTCTCACCATGGGACCGTTGCACCAAGAAAGCCTTTGCTTCCTCATCATCACTGCACCCGTTCCCGTGGCTCCAACGTCATAACGCCACCATATCCTGGTCGAGGATGAAAATCACAGCCTGGGCACCGGGATGCAGGAAGACCTGCTTTCCCTTACCTTGTGGTTCCACGTCGGTTGAGAGTCCTGTGAGTGCCCTCCAGCCCATCATTCCATCCTCCCGTATCGTTGGCCCCGTGTTTTGGAACGTAGATGTGGACATCCGCCAGGCTCTGGAGAGGGATCCCGCTCCTGCTACCTGCCCTCCTGAGCGCATCTACGTCCCCACGGGGCTAAGGGATCGGCTGTTGACCTGGGCACACACATCCCTCGCCGCTGGACGCCCAGGTATCACCCGCACCATTCAATCCATCTCTGCGAAGTACTGGTGACCCACCTTGGCACAGGACGTTGCCCACGATGTGAATTCATGCTCCGTATGTGCACAAACAATCTCCCCGGCACGCTCCAGCAGGGAAACTCCTTCCCGTGCCTCAGCGGCCTTGGTCCCATCTGTCCATAGATTTCGTTACTGATCTCCCACCGTCTGATGGTTTCACCACTATTATGGTTGTTGTGGACAGATTCTCTTGCTGTTTTATCCCTCTCTCTGGTCTCCCTACCGCTCTCCAGGTCGCTGTTCCAGCAGATCTTCTGGCATTATGGCCTTCCGGAGGACATCGTCTCCGACCATGGCCCCCAATTCACGTCGTGGGTATGGAAACCACGTTGTGGTTTCGGTGCGAAGAGGAGGTTTGGAATGCTGCCCACGTGAGGCTCCAGCGCACCTTCCGCCGCCAGAAGGAGCAGGCGGATCACCACCACAGTGAGGCTCCCGTGTTCCATCCTAGTGATTTGCGTCTGGCTCTCCACCAGGAACCTCCCGCTCCACCTGCCCTGCCGGAAGCTGAGCCCCCGGTTTGTGGGGCCCTTCAAGGTCCTCCGGAGGGTCAACGAGGTAACATACCGTTTACAACTCCCCACCAACTACCGGATCTCACCCTCTTTTCATGTTTCCCTCCTCAGGCCGGCGGTTCCTGGTCCCCTGGCTGATGCCGTCCCCAGCAACACCCCTCCGCCTCCCCTGGACATCGATAGGATCCCTGCCTATGCCGTCAGGTCCCTACTGGACTCTCGACGTCGTGGGGGCCGGCTTCAGTACCTGGTGGACTGGGAGGGGTACAGTCCAGAGGAGCACTGTTGGGTCTCGGCGGCCGATATCCTGGACCCCAACATCGTCCTGGATTTTCATCTCCGCCGTTCAGACCGGCCCACTACTTTCTCTCGGGGCCGTCCTCCTGGCCGGTCTACTAACAACCGGTCCTGGCAACCATCATTACGCACACCTGCCCCCTATCAGTACGCACACCTGTTAGCCATCATTACGCACACCTGGACTTCATCACCTTCCCTTTATTTAGCCCTCAGTAGCCTCAGTCATCAGGCAGTATTGGTTTGTTTTCATTCACGTTCTGTACGCTTCTCATGTTTTGTTTATCTGCATTTTTCATTATTAAACTCACCTTCTGCACTTGCTTCCTGACTCCCGGCTTATACGTGACACTGCCGCACCAACAAAAAAAAAAGTGTTAAGGGAAGCCATCTTGGATTTGGCGTCAGTCCAATCAAATCCCATTGAGAGCATACGTCATTGACAGAAAAACTTGAATTGTTGCGTCTCGTTGCCCTTTCCTAAATTAGCCGTGGATGGAGATAGGGATTTGGACTTGTGGTTTTACTTAATTCTCCGTACTGCCCAATGATTATAACGCTGATTCTGATCCGCTTAGCTTCCCCGGTGATTTTACCCACGCACAGCTACTGCTGGACACACAAATGGTATCCAAGAGTTCATCTGACTCTGGGGAAGTAGATACAGGGCCTAATTGCCAAAATCTGGAAGGATCCCTTTAAGGTGCTCCAAAGCGTTTTGAAGGATCCCTTTAAGGTGCTCCCAAGCGTTTTACTATAATTCATCTTTGTTTTCATAGTACAGTTTCTTCTTTGTTTCATAGTACAATAGAGTACAGTAAAGTAAAGTACAATAGTATACAGTACTTTTCTGTACTGTACTGTATTGTACTACTGTATTGGACTCAACTATAGTGTATTGTACTCTACTGTCCAAATTTGTGAAACATACGTCTATGGTAGGTTCAGATTTGGTCAAATCAAATTAACATCTAGGCCAGGGTGGACTGACCAAATTTAAACTACTTTTCAACGTCCATGGACGTCCGTTGTCGGTCGGTGCTCAGTGGGTGCCGGTTACAGTAAATGGAAAGAGAGGCTCATGGGTAGGTGACAGTAAGAGCCAGGAGAGAGAGAGACAGCGGGAGCGACAGAGAGAGGAGGTTGTCCAGACTCGGACTGTTGTAACACTCTTGGTTTGACCACCAGACAACAGAAAGACAAAGAAAACTGTTATGAGCTTAACGTAACAGTATGCCAGCGGAATGGAGGACAGTAGCAGGAGACCCTATGAGCTGAACATAACAGTATGCCAGCGGAAGGGAGGACAGTAGCAGGAGACCCTATGAGCTGAACATAACAGTATACCAGTGGAAGGGAGGACAGTAGCAGGAGACCCTATGAGCTGAACATAACAGGATACCAGTGGAAGGAGGACAGTAGCAGGAGACCCTATGAGCTGAACATAACAGTATACCAGTGGAAGGGAGGACAGTAGCAGGAGACCCTATGAGCTGAACATAACAGTATACCAGTGGAAGGGAGGACAGTAGCAGGAGACCCTATGAGCTGAACATAACAGGATACCAGTGGAAGGAGGACAGTAGCAGGAGACCCTATGAGCTGAACATAACAGTATACCAGTGGAAGGGAGGACAGTAGCAGGAGACCCTATGAGCTGAACATAACAGTATACCAGTGGAAGGAGGACAGTAGCAGGAGACCCTATGAGCTGAACATAACAGTATGCCAGCGGAAGGAGGACAGTAGCAGGAGACCCTATGAGCTGAACATAACAGTATACCAGTGGAAGGAGGACAGTAGAAAGTGACCCAACTGTGGTTTGTGACTGTTATGATTTCTCAGTAGCCAGTTGCAGTAATCCGTTACATCTTTTTTGGTAATTTGGTAACGGAATAATGAGTTTTACTACAATAATTACTTCTGTGAACTTTCATTACCCTCCCTCCTCATGAGGGAGAGAAATTAGAAAATATCTTAAAGCAGCATTATGTAACTTTTTGGGAGACCCGACCAAATTCACATAGAAATGTGTCTTGTAGATCTGTCATTCTCATTGAAAGCCAGTCTAAGAAGCGGTAGATCTGTTCTATCTGCGCTATTTCTACACTTCCCGTTCTTAAGTTTCGCTTTTGCGTCTTTTACTTTTGGTTTTGTACACCAGCTTCAAACAGCTGAAAATACAATATTTTTGGTTATTGAAAATATATTTCACAGTGGTTTAGATGAAACAATGATTCTCTACACTATACTTGCTTGTTTTGTCACATAAACTGAAATTAGGCGAACTATTAGAATTTTAGCAACCAGGAAATGGCGGAGCGATGTCTGCATATTGCACCTTTAAAGATATGTGTCCCACTAAGCTGCTGCATCAGATGACCTGGCCTCCACAATCACCTGACCTCAATCCAATTGAGATGGTTTGGGATGAATTGGACTGCAGAGTGAAGGAAAAGCAGCCAACCAACAAGTGCTCAGCATATGTGGGAACTCCTTCAAGACTGTTGGAAAAGCATTCCAGGTGACTGCCTCATGAAGCTGGTTGAGAGAATGCCAAGAGTGTGCAAAGCTATCATCCAGGCAAAGGGTGGCTACTTTGAAGAATCTCAAATATATAATATATTTTGATTTGTTTAACATTGGTTACTACATGATTCCAAATGTATTATTTCATAGTTTTGATGTCTTCACTATTATTCTACAATGTAGAAAATAGTTTAAAAAATAAAGAAAAACCCTTGAATGAGTAGGTGTGTCCAAACTTTTGACTGGTACTGTATATCTGGGGAAGGGTATGCGCCACTGCGTCTCCCGAGTGGCGCAGTGGTCTAAGGCACTGCATCGCAGTGCTAGCTGTGCCACTAGAGATCCTGGTTCGAATCCAGGCTCTGTCGTAGCCGGCCGCGACCGGGAGACCCATGGGGCGGCGCAGAATTGGCCCAGCGTCGTCCAGGGTAGGGGAGGGAATGGCCGGCAGGGATGTAGCTCAGTTGGTAGAGCTTGGCGTTTGCAACTCCAGGGTTGTGGGTTCAGTTCCCACAGGGGGCCAGTATGAAAAATAAAAAAATAATGTATGCACTCACTAACTGTAAGTCGCTCTGGATAAGAGTGTCTGCTAAATGACTAAAATGTAAAATGGGTATAAAACAATTTCTTGAGTGTTGAACATTTCCAAGAGCACAGTGGTCTCCATCATTGGGAACTATGGAACTACCCAGACTTCTGCAAGAAGGACCTTGGTCAGGGAGGTGACCAAGAACCCAATGATCACTCTGACAGAACTACAGAGTTCCTTGGCTGAGATGGGAGACGGTCTCCACAGCACTTCACCAATCTGGGCTTCATGGGAGAGTGGCCAGACGGAAACCACTCCTGAGAAAAAGGCACATGACAGCACGCCTTGAGTTTGCAAAAAGGCATGTGAAAGACTGAGAGCATAAGGCAAAATATTTTGTGGTCTGATGAGACAAAAATGTTACTTTTGGCCTGAATGTAAAAAGCGCTATGTCTGGAGAAAACCAGGCACAGCTCATCACCAGTCTAACACCATCTCTACCTGGAAGCATAGTGGTGGCATCATAATAATAATATGCCATTTAGCAGACGCTTTTATCCAAAGCGACTTACAGTCATGTGTGCATACATTTTTACGTATGGGTGGTCCCGGGGATCGAACCCACTACCCTGGCGTTACAAGCGCCATGCTCTACCAATTGAGCTACAGAGGACCACATGCTATGGGGATGCTTTTCAGTGACAGGGACTGGGAGACTAGGTAAGGATAGAGGGAACAATGCATGGAGCAAAATACAGGCAAATCCTTGATGAGAACCGGCTTCAGAGTGCAAACGACTTTAGACTGGGGGGGCGAAGATTTACGTTCCAACAGGACAATGACCCCAAGAATACAGCCAAAGCAATGATGGAATGGCTTCAGAACAAGAACGGTAAACTCCTTGAGTGGCCCAGCCAAAGCCCAGACTTTAAACCCAATGAAGATCTGTGGAAAGATTTGAAGATTGCTGTTCACCGCTGCTCCACATCTAATTTAATAGATCTTGAGTAAATCTGCAAGGAAGAATGGGAGAAAATCCCCAAATCCAAATGTGCAAAGCTGATACAGACATACCCAAGACGATTCAAAGCTGTAATCACCGCCAAAGGTGTTTCTACAAAGTATTGACTCGGGTGTGAATACAGTGCATTCGGAAAGTATTCAGACCCCTTGACTTTTTCCACATTTTGTTACGTTACAGCCTTATTCTAAAATTGATCAAATAAAAAAATTTACACAGCAATCTACACACAATAAAAACATCTGTTTTTAATCTGATTGATTGATTGCTTCTGTGGACAGGTGTCTTTTATACAGGTAACAAGCTGAGATTAGGAGCACTCCCTTTAAGAGTGTGCTCCTAATCTCAGCTCTTTACCTGTATAAAAGACACCTGGGAGCCAGAAATCTTTCTGATTGAGAGGGGGTCAAATACTTATTTCCCTCATTATAATGCAAATCAATTTATAACATTTTTGACATGCGTTTTTTTCTGGATTTTTTTGTTGTTATTCTGTCTCTCACTGTTCAAATAAACCTACCATTAAAATTATAGACTGATCATTTCTTTGTCAGTGGGCAAACGTACAAAATCGGCAGGGGATCAAATACTTTTTTCCCCTCACTGTAGTTTAGTAGCTACGGTCACACCCAGAACAGAGCTGAGACAATATCAATTTCAGTCCATTAAAAATAAGGCATTACAAAATCCACATCAAGAAAATAACCAGTTATCTGAGGCTGCATCCCAAATGACACCCTATTCACTAGATAGTGCACTACATAGGGAATAGGGTGTAATTTGTGACGTAGCCGGAGTCCATCTACAAACAGAGGAAAGTGCACTTCAGTTGTTGTATGGCAAAGAGAAGGCATCTGAACCATTAGTGATATACAGGGCATTCAGAAAGTATTCAGACCCATTCACTTTTTCCACCTTTTGTGAAGTTACAGCCTTATTCTAAAACTGATTGAATAAATGTGTTTCCTTCTCAATCAACACACAACACCCCATAATGACAAAGTGAAAACAGGTTTTTAGATTTTTTTGCAAATTTATAAAAAATAGAAAACAGAAATACCTTATTTACATAAGTATTCAGACCCTTTGCTATGAGACTTGAAATTGAACTCAGGTGCATCCTGTTTCCATTGATCATCCTTGAGATGTTTCTACAACTTGATTGGAGTCCACCTGTGGTAAATTCAATTGATTGGACATGATTTGGAAAGACATACACCTGTCTATATAAGGTCCCACAGTTGACAGTGCATGTCAGAGCAAAAACCAAGAAAATAGGATTTTTCTTTTTTCCTTTTTCTATGTAAGGTCCCACAGTTGTGGGTCCCCTGTAGCTCAGTTGGTAGAGCATGGTGCTTGCAACGTCAGGGTTGTGGGTTCGTTTCCCACGGGGGGCCAGTATGAAAATGTATGCACTCACTAACTGTAAGTCGCTCCTGGATAAGAGCGTCTGCTAAATGACTAAAATGTAAATGTAAATGTTAATGTTGACAGTGCATGTCAGAACAAAAACCAAGCCATGAAGTCGAAGGAATTGTCTGTAGAGCTCCGAGACAGGATTATGTCGAGGCACAGATCTGTGGAAGGGTACCAGAACATGTCTGCAGCATTGAAGGTCCCCAAGAACACAGTGGCCTCATCATTATTAAATGGAAGAAGTTTGGAACCACCAAGACTCTTTCTAGAGCTGGCCGCCCGTTCAAACTGAGCAATCTGGGTAGAAGGGCCTTGGTCAGGGAGGTGACCAAAAACCCGATGGTCATTCTGACAGAGCTCCAGAGTTCCTCTGTGGAGATGGGATAACCTTACAGAAGGACAACCATCTCTGCAGCACTCCACCAATCAGGCCTTTATGGTAGAGTGGCCAGACGGAAGCCACTCCTCAGTAAAAGGCACATGACAGCCCGCTTGGAGTTTGCCAAAAGGACTAAAGGACTCTCAGACCGTGAGAAACATGATTCTCTGGTCTGATTAAACCAAGATTGAACTCTTTGGCCTGAATGCCAAGGGTCACGTCTGGAGGAAACCTGGCACCATCCCTACGGTGAAGCATGGTGGTGGCAGCATCATGCTGTGGGGATGTTTTTCAGCAGCAGGGACTGAGAGACTAGTCAGGATCGAGGGAAAGATGAACGGATCAAAGTACAGAGAGATCCTTGATGAAAACCTGCTCCAGAGCGCTCAGGACCTCAGACTGGGGCGAACGTACACCTTCCAACAGGACAACGACCCTAAGCACACAGCCAAGACAATGCAGGAGTGGCTTCAGGACAAGTCTCGGAAAATAGCTGTGCAGCGACGCTCCCCATCCAACCTGACAGAGCTTGAGAGGATCTGCAGAGAAGAATGGAAGAAACTCCCCAAATACAAGTGTGCCAAGCTTGTAGCGTCATACCCAAGAAGACTTGATGTCTGTAATCGCTGCCAAAGGTGCTTCAACAATGTACTGAGTAAAGGGTCTGAATACTTATGTAAATGTGATATTTCCATTTTTCTATTTGTAATAAATGTCAAAAAACGTATAAAAACCTGTTTTCGCTTTGTCATTATGGGGTATTGTGTGTAGATTGATGAGGGGAAAAACAATTTAATCAATTTTAGAATAAGGCTGTAACGTAACAAAATGTGGAAGAAGTCAAGGGGTCTGAATACTTTCTGAATGCACTGCACATGTTATTGTATACTATATACATATGTAAATAGATATTTCTGTATTTCAGTTTCAATAAATGTGTTAACATAAAAAAAAAAAAACATGTTTTCACTTTGTCATTATGGAGTATTGTGTGTAGACGGGTGAGATAAAAAAAAAAAATATTGAATCCATTTTGAATTCACACAAAATAACACAACATGTGGAATACGCCAAGGGGTCTGAATAATTTCTGAAGGCACTGTATATGTTATTGGGTACTATATACATCAACATGCTGTGAGTGGCCCGGCCTCGCTCCGTGCAGGACGTGGAGGTGAGGCTCCGCCCCCTGACCATGACGCCTCCCCTACTGGTCTACCTTACACACACCTGAACACGCTGCCTAGTACCTATTGGACATTCCTCCCGTCAATCACCGTTGATATCAACACATCACAGTTGAAGGGTCTGTCAATATGGATCATGTTTCATCTGCTACTGTGAAGTTTGATTAAACACTACTTCCAAATGTAAGAAAGACATCTGATTTAACAGTATTTGCGCTTCCTCTCCCTCTGTCCGATCAGGAGCGGGTCCAGAAGACCTTCCCCCACCCCATAGATAAATGGGCCATAGCCGACGCCCAGTCAGCCATCGAGAAAAGGAAGAGGAGGAACCCCCTGCTGCTCCCCGTCGATAAGATACACCCCCTACTGAAGGTAGATACACCCCCTGCTGCTCCCCGTCGATAAGATACACCCCCTACTGAAGGTAGATACACCCCCTGCTGCTCCCCGTCGATAAGATACACCCCCTACTGAAGGTAGATACACCCCCTGCTGCTCCCCGTCGATAAGATACACCCCCTACTGAAGGTAGATACACCCCCTACTGAAGGTAGATACACCCCCTGCTGCTCCCCGTCGATAAGATACACCCCCTACTGAAGGTAGATACACCCCCTGCTGCTCCCCGTCGATAAGATACACCCCCTACTGAAGGTAGATACACCCCCTACTGCTCCCCGTCGATAAGATACACCCCCTACTGAAGGTACAGTGTCTTACCACCTGCTAAGTGTCTTCACTGACCTTTTCAACCTCTCCCTGACTGAGTCTGTAATACCTACATGTTTCAAGCAGACCACCATAGTCCCTGTACCTAAGAACACTAAGGTAACCTGCCTAAATGACTATCGCCCCGTAGCACTCACGTCGGTAGCCATGACGTGCTTTGAAAGGCTGGTCACGGCTCACATCAACACCATTATCCCAGAAACCCTAGACCCACTCCAATTCGCATACCGCCCCAACAGATTCACAGATGACGCAATCTCAGTCGCACTCCACACTGCCCTTTCCCACCTGGACAAAAGGAACACCTATGTGAGAACGCTGTTCATTGACTACAGCTCAGTGTTCAACACCATAGTGCCCTCAAAGCTCATCACTAAGCTAAGGACCCTGGGACTAAACACCTCCCTCTGCAACTGGATCCTGGACTTCCTGACGGGCCACCCCCAGGTGGTAAGGGTAGGTAACAACACATCTGCCACGCTGATCCTCAACACGGGGGCCCCTCAGGGGTGCGTGCTTAGTCCCCTCCTGTACTCCCTGTTCCCCCATGACTGCATGGCCACGCACGACTCCAACACCATCATTAAGTTTGCTGATGACACAACGGTGGTAGGCCTGATCACCGACAACGATGAGACAGCCTATAGGGAGGAGGTCAGAGACCTGGCAGTGTGGTGCCAGGACAACAACCTCTCCCTCAACGTCAGCAAGATAAAGGAGATGATCGTGGACTACAGGAAAAGGAGGGCCGAACACGCCCCCATTCACATCGACGGGGCTGTAGTGGAGCAGGTCGAGACTTCCTTGGTGTCCACATCACCAACAAACTATCATGGTCCCAACACACCAAGAAAGTTGTGAAGAGGGCATGACAAAGCCTATTCCCCCTCAGGAGACTGAAAAGATTTGGCATGGGTCCTCAGATCCTCAAAAAGTTCTACAGCTGCACCATCGAGAGCATCCTGACCGGTTGCATCACCGCCTGGTATGGCAACTGCTCGGCATCCAACCGTAAGGCGCTACAGAGGGTAGTGCGTACGGCCCAGTACATCACTGGGGCCAAGCTTCCTGCCATCCAGGACCTCTATACTAGGCGTGTCAGAGGAAGGCTCCCTGCCTGTGCCATTAAACCCCTACAACTTATCCAGAACGCCGCAGCCCGTCTGGTGTTCGACCTTCCCAAGTTCTCTCATGTCACCCCGCTCCTCCGCACACTCCACTGGCTTCCAGTTGAGGCTCGCATCTACTACAAGACCATGGTGCTTGCCTACTGAGCTGTGAGGGGAACGGCACCTCCTTACCTTCAGGCTCTGATCAGACCGTACACCCAAACAAGGGCACTACGTTCATCCACCTCTGGCCTGCTAGTTCCCCTACCTCTACGGAAGCACAGTTCCCGCTCAGCCCAGTCAAAGCTATTCGCTGCTCTGGCACCCCAATGGTGGAACAAGCTCCCCCACGACGCCAGGACAGCGGAGTCACCTGACCACCTTCCAGAGACACTTGAAACCCTACCTCTTTAAGGAATACCTGGAATAGTACAAAGTAATCCTTCTACCCCCCCCCCCCCCCTCCCCCACCCCCCCATAAAAAAAAAAAAGTGGTTATCCCACTGGCTATCATAAGGTGAATGCACCAATTTGTAAGTCGCTCTGGATAAGAGCGTCTGCTAAATGATGTAAATGTAAATGAACGCCCCAAAAATTGTCAAAGACTCCAGTCACCCTAGTCATAGACTGTTCTCTCTGCTACCGCACGGCAAGCGGTACCGGAGCGCCAAGTCTAGGTCCAAAAGGCTCCTTAACAGCTTCTACCCACAAGCCATAAGACTGCTGAACAATTAATCAAATGGCCACCCGGACTATTTGCATTATTTTCTTAACTCTATTTTCTTAACTGCATTTCACTGTAAGGTCTACACCTGTTGTATTCGGCGCATGTGACAAATAAAATGTGATTTGATTTGATACACCCCCTACTCAAGGTACTGTGGTAGACACACCCCCTACTCAAGGTACTGTGGTAGACACACCCCCTACTCAAGGTACTGTGGTAGACACACCCCCTACTCAAGGTCCTGTGGTAGACACACCCCCTACTCAAGGTACTGTGGTAGACACACCCCCTACTCAAGGTACTGTGGCAGGTAGACACACCCCCTACTCAAGGTCCTGTGGTAGACACACCCCCTACTCAAGGTACTGTGGTAGACACACCCCCTACTCAAGGTACTGTGGTAGACACACCCCCTACTCAAGGTACTGTGGTAGGTAGACACACCCCCTACTCAAGGTACTGTGGTAGACACACCCCCTACTCAAGGTACTGTAGACACACCCCCTACTCAAGGTACTGTGGTAGACACACCCCCTACTCAAGGTACTGTAGACACACCCCCTACTCAAGGTACAGGTCTTAGTCCAATCAAGATGATTTACCTTCATCCTGTACTACACTGATGATACGGTCACCCGTCCTTATTCAGGACCTCCTTTAACAAGTCCTGGTTGGACGTCTCCCAGCTGATTCCCTCCTGATTCCAGGAATCCTCCAACCAGGATTTCTGGGAAAACCTAAGAATTTGAGGACATTTTCTAGAATTTTGCAACCGTACTCCTTATACCATGCCTCTTCCCCTGCTGTTTGTCCCGTCAACAGGAGGTCCTGGGGTATAAGATAGACTACCACGTCTGCCTCTACATCGTGGCGGTTCTAGAATACATATCAGCTGACATCCTGAAGCTAGCAGGAAACTACGTTGGTAACATCCGACACTATGAAATCAGCCAGCAAGACATCAAAGTGTCCATGTGTGCAGACAAGGTAGCAAACTTACTATACCACTGTCTGTCTGTCTCTTTCTGTCCGTATGTCTGTCTGTCTCTTTCTGTCCGTATGTCTGTCTGTCTCTTTCTGTCCGTATGTCTGTCTGTCTCTCTTTCTGTCCGTATGTCTGTCTGTCTCTCTTTCTGTCCGTATGTCTGTCTGTCTCTTTCTGTGTAGACTGTCTGCCTCTTTCTGTGTAGACTGTCTGCCTCTTTCTGTCCATATGTCTGTCTCTCTTTCTGTCCGTATGTCTGTCCGCCTCTTTCTGTCCGTATGTCTGTCCGCCTCTTTCTGTCCGTATGTCTGTCTGCCTCTTTCTGTGTAGACTGTCTGCCTCTTTCTGTGTAGACTGTCTGCCTCTTTCTGTCCATATGTCTGTCTCTCTTTCTGTCCGTATGTCTGTCCGCCTCTTTCTGTCCGTATGTCTGTCCGCCTCTTTCTGTCTGTATGTCTGTCTGCCTCTTTCTGTGTAGACTGTCTGCCTCTTTCTGTGTAGACTGTCTGCCTCTTTCTGTCCATATGTCTGTCTCTCTTTCTGTCCGTATGTCTGTCCGCCTCTTTCTGTCCGTATGTCTGTCTGTCTCTTTCTGTCCGTATGTCTGTCTGCCTCTTTCTGTGTAGACTGTCTGCCTCTTTCTGTCCGTATGGCTGTCTTTCTCTTTTTGTGTATCTGTTTCTGTGTGTCATTGTATGTCTCTGAGTCATCCCTCAATGCCAATCCACTCCAAAGTAGGTAGATATTCAGAAGGTATTCACACCCCTTGACTTTTCCCACATTTTGTTGTGTTACAGCCTGAATTTAAAATGGATTAAATTGAGATTTTGTTTCACTGGCCTACACACAATACCCCATAATGTAAAGTGGAATTATGTTTTTAGAAAGGTTTACAAATTAATTAAAACTGAAAGCTGAAATGTCTGAGTCAATAAATATTCAACCCCTATAAAATGGCAATCCTAAATAAGTTCAGGAGTAAAAATGTGCTTAACAAGTCACATAATACACTGCATGGATTCACTGTGTGCAATAGTGTTTAACATGATTTTTGAATGACTACCTCATCTCTGTACCCCACACATACAATTATCTGTTAGATCCCTCCATCGAGCAGTGAATTTCAAACACAGATTCAACCACAAAGACCAGGGAGGTTTTCCAATGCCTCGCAAAGACGGGTTCCTATTGGTAGATGGGTAAGAAAAAATAAGCAAACATTGAATATCCCTTTGAACACGGTGAAGTTATTGATTACACTTACACCAGTCACTACAAAGATACAGGCGTCCTTCCTAACTCCGTTGCTGGAGAGGAAGGAAACCGCTCAGGGATTTCACCATGAGGTCAACGGTGACTTTAAAACAGTTAAAGTTTAATGGCTGTGATAGGAGGAAACTGAGGATGGATCAACATTGTAGTTACTCCACAATAATAACCTAAATGACAGTGTGAAAAGAAAACATGCATCCTGTTTGCAATAAGGCATTAAAGTAAAACTGCAAAAAATGTGGCAAAGAAATTAACTTTATGTCCTGAATACAAAGTGTTATGTTTTGGGGCAAATCCAACACAACACATCACTGAGTACCACTCTTCATATTTTCAAGCATGGTGGTGGCTGCATCATGTTATGGGTATGCTTGTCATCGGCAAGGACTAGAGTTTTTTAGGATAAAAATAAAAGGAATAGAGCTAAGCACAGGCAAATTCCTAGAGGAAAACCTGGTTCAGTCTTCTGGGAAACAAATTCACCTTTCAGCAGGACAATAAGCTAAATAACAAAGCAAAATATACACGTGTTGCTTACCAAGATGACATTAAATGTTCCTGAGTGGCCTAGTTACAGTTTTGACTTAAATCAGCTTGAACGTCTATGGCAAGACTTGAAAATGGCTGTCTAGCAATGATCAACAACCAACTAGACAGAGCTTGAAGAATTTTAAAAAGAATAATGTGCAAATATTGTACAATCCAGGTATGCGAAGCTCTTAAGAGACTTACCTAGAAAGATTCACAGCTGTAATCGCTGTCAAAGGTGATTCTAACATTTATTGACTCAGTGGTGTTAATACTTATGGAAATTAGATTTCTGTATTTCATATTCTAAAAATATGCAAAACATTTCTACAAACATGTTTTCGCTTTGTGGTTATGGGGTATTGTGTGTAAATGGGTGATTTTTTTTTTTTTTATTTAATCCATTTAGAATTCTGCCAGTAACACAACAAAATGTGGAATAAGTCGAGGGGTATGAATACTTTCTGAAGGCACTGTACCTGGTTGACTTGGTAACCTGTCTCTGTGTGTCTGTACCAGATGTTTATGGACGTGTTTGACCAATGATGTCTCTGTCTCAGGTCCTAATGGACATGTTTGACCAGGACGAGGACATCGGTCTGGTGTCTCAGTGTACGGAGGAGCCGTCGTCGTCGGGCGAGCTGACCTACGACGACCTGGTGCGCCTGGAGATCGCAGAGGAGCGCCAGTACCTGCGGGAACTCGATCTCATCATCAAGGTGTTCCGACATCACTTCCTGTTCAACAACAAGATCTTCACCCCTCAGGTGAGAACATTAAGACAGGTTATGAACACCTTATGAACTGTTTATAAATGGCAGTCATCTTACAACAGTAGCCAACATAACACAGTAGACAGCTTACAAACAAATCCAGTGTAAGACCATGTTACGTTCCCCCAGCAAGAAAACCAAATAATGTCGCTCAAACAGACGGGAAAACTAACAAAGAGTCACTGACAACAACCAAAACGAAACAGGTGGGGCTTTAGGAGGGGTTCTGAAAGACACTCATGGGGGTGTCCACTGAAAGTTGACTAGCAACAACAACTGGGACCTAAAAGACGCCCACCATCATCGCCCACTAAATTTGCCCAAGAAGAGGCAAACAAAATTAAAACCCAAACCAAACTTAAAGACAGGAAGCAAACCACAAAGTGGAGCAAAATGAAATCAGGGAAGATCAGATAAAGGATTGTTTGACTAGAAATCAAATAGGGAGAGATAACTAAAGGTGTTAACCCTCCTACATCTATCAAGACCACTAAATGAGTTAACCCTCCACATCTATCAAGACAACTGGAGGAGTTAACCCTCCACATCTATCAAGACAACTGGAGGAGTTAACCCTCCACATCTATCAAGACAACTGGAGGAGTTAACCCTCCACATCTATCAAGACAACTGGAGGAGTTAACCCTCCACATCTATCAAGACAACTGGAGGAGTTAACCCTCCACATCTATCAAGACCTATCAATAAAATGTGATTTGAAGACCCCTGGAGCACTGGGCCAGCCACTCTTAAATAGCACCTGGGCCAGCACAGGTGAAACACCTTCCCACTAACGAGATGGCAACCAGCACAGCTTTAACACTTACTGACTAACGAGGTGACACCCTAACGGTGCGCCCTACGCGCTAACGAGCTCAAAACAAAAAAATTGAAAAACCAAAGCATGTAACAGACAATTAGAACTGAAGATTAGAACTGAACAGCTGTAATCAGCTAACTGGCTAATCTGGCCTGCAGTTGTAGTGTGCTGTGCTCAAATCAACTTCAACACTGAGACTCATATCACCTTCAACACTGAGACTCATATCACCTTCAACACTGAGACTCAAATCACCTTCAACACTGAGACTCAAATCAACTTCAACACTGAGACTCAAATCAACTTCAACACTGAGACTCAAATCAACTTCAACACTGAGACTCAAATCAACTTCAACACTGAGACTCAAATCACCTTCAACACTGAGACTCAAATCAACTTCAACACTGAGACTCAAATCAACTTCAACACTGAGACTCAAATCACCTTCAACACTGAGACTCAAATCACCTTCAACACTGAGACTCAAATCAACTTCAACACTGAGACTCAAATCAACTTCAACACTGAGACTCAAATCACCTTCAACACTGAGACTCAAATCACTTTCAACACTGAGAATCAAATCACCAGTTTAAACACTGAGACTCAAAACACCTTCAACACTGAGACTCAAAATACTGTACCTTCAACACTTGTTTCTGCCACCGTCTCTTATGACCAAAAAGAGCTTCTGGATATCAGGACAGCGATTACTCACCTCGTATTGGACGAAGATTTTTTTATTCAACGAGTCGGACGCAAATAATATTCTACAGACACCCGACAAGGCCCAAATCCCCGTCATTCGCATGAGAAAGAGACAGAGATATCGTGGACGTAGGTCGGGGTGCCTTGTAAAGATCCGACGGCGAGCGAGTAAACTGCCTCTTCCCATCAATCCTATTAGCCAATGTTCAATCACTTGAAAATAAATTGGATGACCTAAGATTAAGGTTATCCTACCAACGGGACATTAAAAACTGTAATATCTTATGTTTCACCGAGTCGTGGCTGAACGACGACATGGATAACATACAGCTGGTGGGATATACGCTACATCGGCAGGATAGAACGGCTGACTCCGGTAAGACAAGGGGTGGCGGTCTGTGTATATTTGTAAACAACAGCTGGTGCATAAAATCTAATACTAAGGAAGTCTCGAGGTTTTGCTCGCCTGAGGTAGAGTATCTCATGATAAACTGTAGACCACACTATTTACCAAGAGAGTTTTCATCTATATTTTTCGTAGCTGTCTATGTACTACCACAAACCGATGCTGGCACTAAGATTGCACTCAATGAACTCTCTACGGCCATAAGCAAACAGGAAAACGATCACCAGAGGCAGCGCTCCTAGTGGCCGGGGACTTTAATGCAGGGAAACTTAAATCTGTTCTACCTCATTTCTACCAGCATGTTAAATGTGCAAAATCGGACCATAACTCTATCCTCCTGATTCCTGCTTATAAGCAAAAACTAAAGCAGGAAGCACAAGTGACTCGGTTAATAACGAAGTGGTCTGATGATGCAGATGCTAAGCTACAGGACTGTTTTGCTAGCACAGACTGGAATATGTTCCGGGATTCTTCCGATAGCATTGAGGAGTACACCACATCAGTCACTGGCTTCATCAACAAGTGCATCGATGACGTCGTCCCCACAGTGACCGTACGTACCCCAACCAGAAGCCATTGATTACAGGTAACATCCCCACTGAGCTAAAGGGTAGAGCTGTCGCTTTCAAGGAGCGGGACTCTAACCTGGACGCTTATAAGAAATCCCGCTATGCCCTCTGACAAACCATCAAACAGGCAAAGAGTCAATACAGGACTAAGATTGAATTGTACTACACAGGCTCTGACGCTCGTCGGATGTGGCAGGGCTTGAAAACTATTAGACTACAAAGGGAAGCACAGCCGCGAGCTGCCCAGTGACACAAGCCTACCATACGAGCTAAATCACTTCTATGCTCATGTCGAGGCAAACACTGAAGCAAGCATGAGAGCATCAGCTGTTCCGGATGACTGTGATCACGCTCTCCGTAGCCAATGTGAGGAAGACTTTTAAGCAGGTCAACATTCAAATCTGCTAAATGACTAAAATGGATCAAATCTGCTAAATGACTAAAATGGATCAAATCTGCTAAATGACTAAAATGGGTCAAATCTGCTAAATAACTAAAATGGATCAAATCTGCTAAATGACTAAAATGGGTCAAATCTGCTAAATGACTAAAATGGGTCAAATCTGCTAAATGACTAAAATGGGTCAAATCTGCTAAATGACTAAAATGGGTCAAATCTGCTAAATGACTAAAATTGATCAAATCTGCAAATGACTATAATGGATCAAATCTGCTAATGACTAAAATGGGTCAAATCTGCTAATGACTAAAATGGGTCAAATCTGCTAAATGACTAAAATTGATCAAATCTGCAAATGACTATAATGGATCAAATCTGCTAATGACTAAAATGGGTCAAATCTGCTAAATGACTAAAATGGGTCAAATCTGCTAAATGACTAAAATTGATCAAATCTGCAAATGACTATAATGGATCAAATCTGCTAATGACTAAAATGGGTCAAATCTGCTAAATGACTAAAATGGGTCAAATCTGCTAAATGACTAAAATGGGTCAAATCTGCTAAATGACTAAAATGGATCAAATCTGCTAAATGACTAAAATGGGTCACATCTGCTAAATGACTAAAATGGGTCAAATCTGCTAAATGACTAAAATGGATCAAATCTGCTAAATGACTAAAATGGGTCAAATCTGCTAATGACTAAAATGGGTCAAATCTGCTAATGACTAAAATGGGTCAAATCTGCTAAATGACTAAAATTGATCAAATCTGCAAATGACTATAATGGATCAAATCTGCAAATGACTATAATGGATCAAATCTGCAAATGACTACAATGGATCAAATCTGCTAAATGACTAAAATGGGTCAAATCTGCTAAATGACTAAAATGGATCAATCAATCAATCAATCAATTTTATTTTATATAGCCCTTCGTACATCAGCTGATATCTCGAAGTGCTGTACAGAAACCCAGCCTAAAACCCCAAACAGCTAGTAATGCAGGTGTAGAAGCACGGTGGCTAGGAAAAACTCCCTAGAAAGGCCAAAACCTAGGAAGAAACCTAGAGAGGAACCAGGCTATGAGGGGTGGCCAGTCCTCTTCTGGCTGTGCCGGGTGGAGATTATAACAGAACCATGCTAAGATGTTCAAAAATGTTCATAAGTGACAAGCATGGTCAAATAATAATCAGGAATAAATCTCAGTTGGCTTTTCATAGCCGATCATTAAGAGTTGAAAACAGCAGGTCTGGGACAGGTAGGGGTTCCATAACCGCAGGCAGAACAGTTGAAAACTGGAATAGCAGCAAGGCCAGGCGGACTGGGGACAGCAAGGAGTCACCACGGCCGGTAGTCCCGACGTATGGTCCTAGGGCTCAGGTCTCTCAGTTGGCTTTTCATAGCCGATCATTAAGAGTTGAAAACAGCAGGCAGAACAGTTGAAACTGGAATAGCAGCAAGGCCAGGCGGACTGGGGACAGCAAGGTGTCAGCATGCCCGGTAGTCCTGACGTATGGTCCTAGGGCTCAGGTTCTCAGAGAGAAAGAGAGAACGAGAGAATTAGAGAGAGCATACTTAAATTCACACAGGACACTGGATAAGACAGGAGAAGTACTCCAGGTATAACCAACTAACCCCAGCCCCCCGACACATAAACTACTGCAGCATAAATACTGGAGGCTGAGACAGGAGCGGTCCGGAGACACTGTGGCCCCATCCGAAGAAACCCCCGGACAGGGCCAAACAGGAAGGATATAACCCCACCCACTCTGCCAAAGCACAGCCCCCGCACCACTAGAGGGATATCCTCAACCACCAACTTACAATCCTGAGACAAGGCCGAGTATAGCCCACAGAGGTCTCCACCACAGCACAAACCAAGGGGGGGCGCCAACCCAGACAGGAAGATCACGTCAGTAACTCAACCCACTCAAGTGACGCACCCCTCCTAGGGACGGCATGAAAGAGCACCAGCAAGCCAGTGACTCAGCCCCTGTAACAGGGTTAGAGGCAGAGAACCCCAGTGGAGAGAGGGGAACCGGCCTGGCAGAGACAGCAAGGGCTGTTCGTTGCTCCAGAGCCTTTCCGTTCACCTTCACACTCCTGGGCCAGACTACACTCAATCATAAGACCTACTGAAGAGATAAGTCTTCAGTAAAGACTTAAAGGTTGAGACCGAGTCTGCGTCTCTCACATGGGTAGGCAAACTGTTCCATAAAAATGGAGATCTATAGGAGAAAGCCCTGCCTCCCGCTGTTTGCTTAGAAATTCTAGGGACAATTAGGAGGCCTGCGTCTTGTGACCGTAGCGTACGTATTGGTATGTACGGCAGGACCAACTCGGAAAGATAGGTAGGAGCAAGCCCATGTAACGCTTTATAGGTTAACAGTAAAACCTTGAAATCAGCCCTTGCCTTAACAGGAAGCCAGTGTAGGGAAGCTATCACTGGAGTAATATGATCAAATTTCTTGGTTCTAGTCAGGATTCTAGCAGCCGTATTTAGCACTAACTGAAGTTTATTTAGTGCTTTATCCGGGTAGCCGGAAAGTAGAGCATTGCAGTAGTCTAACCTAGAAGTAACAAATGCATGGATTAATTTTTCTGCATCATTTTTGGACAGAAAATTTCTGATTTTTGCAATGTTACGTAGATGGAAAAAAGCTGTCCTTGAAACAGTCTTGATATGTTCGTCAAAAGAGAGATCAGGGTCAAGAGTAACGCCGAGGTCCTTCACAGTTTTATTTGAGACGACTTTACAACCATCAAGATGAATTGTCAGATTTAACAGAAGATCTCTTTGTTTCTTGGGACCTAGGGTCAAATCTGCTAAATGACTAAAATGGGTCAAATCTGCTAAATGACTAAAATGGGTCAAATCTGCTAAATGACTAAAATGGATCAAATCTGCTAAATGACTAAAATGGGTCACATCTGCTAAATGACTAAAATGGGTCAAATCTGCTAAATGACTAAAATGGATCAAATCTGCTAAATGACTAAAATGGGTCAAATCTGCTAAATGACTAAAATGGGTCAAATCTGCTAAATGACTAAATGTGTAAGTCTCTCCCTGCAGGATGTGGAGGTGATTTTCAGTAACATCTTGGACATCCATGAGTTGACGGTCAAGCTGCTGGGGCTGATCGAGGACGCAGTGGAGATGACCGCTGACGGGAGTCCACATCCTCTGGTGGGCAGCTGCTTCGAGGACCTGGCAGAGGTAGATACACACACACACACACACACACACACACACACACACATACCTAAACTCACACACACACATACCCACACCAACGCCTGCTGCTGACAGGAGTCCCCATCCTCTGGTGGGCAGCTGCTTCAAGGATCTGGCAGAGAGAGAGGTTACAGCCCAATAACACAGTCTTACCGTTACATCTATTCTGCCGTAACTGATCCAAAAGCCCTCTGCCCTGTGAAGTCTATACGTTCATTTCTTGCACGTCTCTGCTAGAAGGCCTTCAGTCGATTGTGTGCCTCTACGTACATTTACATTTTAGTCATTTAGCAGACGCTCTTATCCAGAGCGACATACAGCTAGTGAGTGCATACATTTTTCATACTGGCCCCCCTGTGGGAAACGAACCCACAACCCTGGCGTTGCAAGCGCCATGCTCTACCAACTGAGCTACATGGGACTACACTACCACCCCCCCCCCAGTGAGACATAGCAGTCTGCTATTGTAACTCTTCTATGAACTCTCTCTACCCTCTCCAGGAGCAGGCGTTTGACCCGTACGAGACCCTGTCTCAGGACATCCTGTCCAGACAGTTCCACGAGCACTTCAGCAGCCTGATGGCCCGGCCAACGGTAGGACTATACTTCCAGGTAAGATAGGCTCACCTCACCTCACCTCACCTCGCCTCGCCTCGCCTCGCCTCGCCTCGCCTCGCCTCGCCTCGCCTCGCCTCACCTCACCTCACCTCACCTCACCCCACCTCACCTCACCTCTCCTCTCCTCTCCTCACCTCACCTCACCTCACCCCACCCCACCCCACCCCCACCTCACCTCACCTCACCTCACCTCACCTCACCTCACCTCTCCTCTCCTCTCCTCTCCTCACCTCACCTCACCCCACCCCACCCCACCCCCCACCTCACCTCACACACAGATCTGGGTTGCATTAATTACTGCACACCATTACTGGACGTTGACATAGTGACATAGTGACACAGTGACATAGTGACATAGTGACATAGTGACACAGTGACACAGTGACACAGTGACATAGTGACACAGTGACATAGTGACACAGTGACATAGTGACATAGTGACACAGTGACATAGTGTCTGGCTTGGCTCTAATGCATTTCCCAAGTAATGATCCTTGAATATCCTTTCATATTGAAAGTTCAGCGTAAGTAAACAGGTGAAATTCCCAGTGAAAGTCATGCCTTGACATTCCTCTTCCAGTGTAGTTGGTTAGTTATTTCCTCCTCCACTCTGATCCGCTCTATTGTGTGATTGGGACATTACTCCTCTCAGGAATACCATTACATTATTATACTCTGTAGGAATGCTGCCTGGCAGCTAGTCAAGACACAATGTTTAATGTTTTACTGAATCTAAGAATGCTGAGACAGCCAGGATATGGATATTATTAACGATACGGCCAGGTCTCCCCTGTAAAAGAGGTCTTCTGACCTCAATGGGACTTTCTGGATAAATAAATGTTAAAGGTCCAATGTAGCCGTTTTTAGCTCATTGTCAAATCATTTCTGCGTAACGGTTAAGTACCTTACTGTGATTGCTTTCAATTAAAATGGTCAAAAAAGAAACAAAAATAGCTTCTTAGCAAAGAGCAATTTCTCAAACAAGAATGTAGCCAGGACTGAATGGGAGTGGTCTGAGTGGGAAACTGAAAACCAGCTGTTAGTGGCAGAGAGGTTTGGAACTCTCTTTCTTATTGGTCTATTAACTCATTTCCCCTTGGTGATGTCACCAGGCAGGCCAAAACTCCATGCCCACCAAAACAGGCTGTTATTTCAGGCGGTCTTTTAAAACAGCTCTTACACTAAAAGGACATTTATCATCATTTTCACAATTTCATACAATTATTCATTGTGTGGAAATATATAGAAAACACAGGGGGAAATCTAGTTTTTGACTGTACATTAAATAAAAAAGGATGCATGCACTGATATCAACGCACCTCCTGTTAAACCCAGAGACAACCCAAAACAGGCTCATTCTGCATGGTCGTGGCCTGGGCCTTTATTACAGGCTGATTCTGCATGGTCGTGGCCTGGGCCTTTATTACAGGCTGATTCTGCATGATCGTGGCCTGGGCCTTTATTACTTATATGACGTGTTTTATTGTTATTATTGATTAATGTACTGCGTTGTTGAGGGAGATAGCACATAAGCATTTCACTACACCTTTTATACCTGCTGTAAACTGTGTATGTGACTGAGTGTAGCGTCCTGCCTGGACGTCAGGACTGTGTGTTGTGCCGTCTGTTATGGGTCCTCATGGCTGTATGTCTGGTCCTCGTGGCGGTCATGTCTGGTCCCTCATGGCTTCTGTCTGGTCCTCATGGATGTCTGCTGGGTCATCATGGCTGGTCTGTTGCGTCCTCATGGCTGTCGGTGTGTCCTCATGGCTGTCTGTTGGTCCTCATGGCTGTTCTGTCTGGTTCCTCATGGATGTATGTCTGGTAATCATGGTGTTGTCTGGTCATCCATGCTGTCTGTTGAGTCCAATGGCTGGAGGTCTGGTCCTAATGGCGTCTACTTCTGTTGTTCCTCATGGCTGTCTGGTCTGGCTGTTGTCTGGTCCTATGCTGTCTGTTGGCCTCATGGTGTCTGTCGGGCCCTCATGGCTTTTGTCGGGCCCTCAGGGTGTCTTCTGGTCCTAGGGCTGTCTGGGGGTCCTCATGGTGTCGTCGGTATCATGGTGTTGTTGGTTCATGGCTGTCTGTCTGGTCCTCAGGCTGTCTGTTGGTTCCATGGCTGTTTTCTGCCCTTTGGCTGTCTGTGGTCATGTGGCTGTCTGGGGTCCTCTGGCTGTCTGTCGGTATCATGGCTTCGTCTGGTATCAGGCTGTCTGTCTGGTCCCATGGTGTCGTTGGTCACATGGCGTCTTTTGGTCATCATGGCTGTCTTCGGTCACAGGGCTGTCTGTCTGGTCATCAGGGTGTCTGTTGGTCATCATGGCGTTTGTCGGTCCCGTGGCTGTTGTCTGGTCACATGCTGTCGTCTGGTCATCATGGCTGCTGTCTGGTCTCATGGCTTCTGTCTGGTCCCAGGGCTTCTGTTGGCAAGGTCCTCATGGCTGTCTGTCTGGTCCTCATGGCTGTCTGTCTGGTCATCATGGCTGTCTGTCTGGTCATCATGTCTGTATGTTGGTCATCATGGCGTAGTCTGGTCCATCTGGTGTCGTCTGGTAACGTGGCGTCTGTCTGAGTCCTCATGGCTGTTGTCTGTCCCATGGCTGGTCTGTCTGGTCATCATGGCTGTCTGTCTGGTCATGATGGCTGTTCTGTCTGGTCCTCATGGCTGTCTGTCTGGTCCTCATGGCTGTCTGTCTGGTCATCATGGCTGTCTGTCTGGTCATCATGGCTGTCTGTCTGGTCCTCTAAAGTGATAATGCCAGAGAAGCCGGTGTTTTGGAGGATGTATTGGCACGGGTTGTTGAAGTCGAGGGCAGGCAAACCGTTCCAACACGTCCTCCAAACACCGGCTTCAAGGGCATTATCACTTTTATTTTGATTTATTTCACCTTTATTTAACCAGGTAAGCCAGTTGAGAACAAGTTCTCATTTACAACTGCGACCTGGCCAAGATAAAGCAAAGGGTTACCAACATATTCAAATAATGATTGACATATTTTCATTAAAAAAGTTATTTTGATTAATTCATTCATGCTATTTCATCCTTCCACAACATATAGTCCCGACACTAATCTAGGGTTGCTACCCAAACCGGCCAGTCATTTTTTATTTTGGTTCGGTTGCCAGAGACGCGACCCAGTCCTTCAGTCTTTTTCTTCTGTATCTATGCAATTCTTTCCAATGTGTCAAGTAATTATCTTTTTGTTTTCTCATGATTTGGTTGGGTATAATTGTGTTGCTGTTGTTGTCCTGGGGCTCTGTGGGGTCTGTTTGTGTTTGTGAACAGAGCCCCAGGACAAGCTTACTTAGGGGACTCTTCTCCAAGTTCATCTCTCTGTAGGTGATGGCTTTGTTATGGAAGGTTTGGGAATCGTTTCCTTTTAGGTGGTTGTAGAATTGAACGGCTCTTTTCTGGATTTTGATAATTAGTGGGTATCGGCCTAATTCTGCTCTGCATGCATTATTTGGTGTTTTTCGTTGTACACTGAGGATATTTTTGCTGTATTCTGCATGCAGAGTCTCAATTTGGTGTTTGTCCCATTTAGTGAATTCTTGGTTGGTAAGCGGACCCCAGACCTCACAACCATAAAGGGCAATGGGTTCTATAACTGATTCAAGTATTTTTAGCAAGATCCTAATTGGAATGTCGAATTTTATGTTCCTTTTGATGGCATAGAAGGCCCTTCTTGCCTTGTCTCTCAGATCGTTCACAGCTTTGTGGAAGTTACCTGTGGCGCTGATGTTTAGACCGAGGTATGTATAGTGTTTTGTGTGCTCTAGGGCAACGGTGTCTAGATGGAATTTGTATTTGTGGTCCTGGCAACTGGACCTTTTTTGGAACACCATTAATTTTTGTCTTACTGAGATTTACTGTCAGGGCCCAGGTCTGACTGAATCTGTGCTGAAGATCTAGGTGCTGCTGTAGGCCCACCTTGGTTGGGGACAGAAGCACCAGATCATCAGCAAACAGTAGACATTTGACTTCAGATTCTAATAGGGTGAGGCCGGGTGCTGCAGACTGTTCTAGTGCCCTCACCAATTAGTTGATATATATGTTGAAGAGGGTGGGGCTTAAGCTGCATCCCTGTCTCACCCCACGGCCTTGTGGAAAAAGTTTACCGCACACTTGTTGTTTGTGTACATGGATTTTATAATGTTGTATGTTTTTTCCCCAACACCACTTTCCATCAATTTGTATAGCAGACCCTCATGCCAAATTGAGTCAAAAGTTTTTTTGAAATCAACAAAGCATGAGAAGACTTTGCCTTTGTTTTGGTTTGTTTGTTTGTCAATTAGGGTGTGCAGGGTGAATACATGGTCTGTCGTACGGTAATTTGGTAAAAAGCCAATTTGACATTTGCTCAGTACATTGTTTTAACTGAGGAAGTCTACGACTCTGCTGTTAATGATTTCCCAAGGTTGCTGTTGACGCATATCCCACGGTAGTTATTGGGGTAAAATCTTAATCTTTTATTTTTATTGGCCAGTCTGAGATATGGCTTTTTCTTTGCAACTCTTCCTAGAAGGTCAGCATCCCTGAGTCGCCTCTTCACTGTTGACTTTGAGACTGGTGTTTTGCGGGTACTATTTAATGAAGCTGCCAGTTGAGGACCTGTGAGGCGCCTGTTTCTCAAACTAGACACTCTAATGTATTTGTCCTCTTCCTCAGTTATGCACTGGGGCCTCCCACTCCTCTTTCTATTCTGGTCAGAGCCAGTTTGCGCTATTCTGTGAAGGGAGTAGTACACAGCGTTGTACGAGATCTTCAGTTTCTTGGCAATTTCTTCAGCCTTCATTTCTCAGAACAAGAATAGACTGACGAGTTTCAGAAGAAAGTTCTTTGTTTGAGCATAGACTGACGAGTTTCAGAAGAAAGTTATTTGTTTCTTGCCATTTTGAGCCTGTAATCGAACCCACAATTGCTGATGCTCCAGATACTCAACTAGTCTCAAGAAGGCCAGTTTTATTGCTTCTTTAATCAGCACAAAATGTTTCAGCTGTGCTAACATAATTGCAAAAGGGTTTTCTAATGATCAATTAGCCTTTTTAAAATGATAAACTTGGATTAGCAAACACAACGTGCCATTGGAACACAGGACTGATGGTTGCTGATAATGGGCCTCTGTACGCCTATGTAGATATTCCATAAAAAATCAGCCGTTTCCTGATACAATAGCCATTTACAACATTAACAATGTCTACACTGTATTTCTGATCAATTTGATGTTATTTTAATGGACAAAAAATGTGCTTTTCTTTTGAAAGTAAGGACATTTCTAAGTGACCCCAAACTTTTGAACGGTAGTGTATATCTCTCGCCACATAGACAAGACAGACAGACATACAGACAGTATAGGGCAGGCAGACTATGTAGTGTGTAGTCTGAGTGTCTATCCACACATTTACACACACGCACGCACGCACGCACGCACACACACACACACACACACACACACACACACACACAGAGAGAGAGAGCGCCAGAGGAGGCTGTAGTGTGGAGTCTGAGTAGTAGAGTATTGATTAAGGATCATCTATCTAGGGAGCAGGGGAGGGGGTGGGGGTGGGGGGGGGGGTTTAAAAGGATCAATAAAAAACCCACAAAATTCTTTGTAGGGTCACAAGTATCCTCCCCCTTCCCCTCTTCCACCCCCCTCTCCCTGGGTTTCTCCCTTTCCGCCCCCCCGGGGGGGGGATTTTAGAAAAGGGAAAAAAGGGGGGGGCCCCCCCCTTTTTTTCCCCCCCCCCGGGGGGGGGAAAAAAACCCCCCCCGGGGGGGGGGCCCCCCCCCAAAAAGGGGCCCCAAAAAGAAAAAAAAAAAGGGGGTTGTTTTTTCTCTCTTTTTTTTTTTTCCCCTTTTTTCTTTTTCTCTCCTTTTTTTGTTTTTCCAAGCATACCCCCGGGTTTTTCCCCAAAGAGGGGGCTTCCATTCTCCTTCCAGGGTTTTTGTGGTTCCTTTGTAAAATTGTTTGCCACTAAAAATTTGAAAGAAGGGGTTTTTTCTCACAAAAAAAAAACCACAAAAAAAAACCAACCAAAAAGAACCCCCAACAACAAACCAGTACCCCCCATAGATGGTTTTCCCTTTACATGGGTTTTTACCTTTGTTTCAATTGAGGTTTTTAAAAAAACCACCACACCCCACACCCACAAAACAAGAAAAAAACCCCCAAACCCCCCGCCGGAAAGGGGGGGGCTCCTGATTCCGGTTTTAAATAAATTTCGCTCCGGTTTTACCCCCGGCCCATTTTTTTGGTTAAATTTTATAAATTAAATTTTTCCCCCTTTTTTTTTAACCCAAAAATTTTTTTTCCCCTTAAAACTAAATCCGTAGTTTGTGAAACCGCCACGGCTGTTTTTGCGTTATTACAACAACAAATAAATCCGACATCAGTGCATATACGCAACAGAACAGCAGAATATGTACTGCAACTTTATTTTTAAAACAATTTTACCACGATGCCGGACACTCCTCGCCTCCATTTCATCAACAAAACAAAAACATTATCGAAGGCGCTGGAGGCGAACAGCTGTTTCCCGGTTTACGGATTTCAGCTTTAAGTCTTGTAGACCATGAGCCAGTCAGTCAGTTGAGCCTTGAGGAGTGCAGAGAGCTCTACCAGATTTACCAGCAGACCCGCTGCACCTCCACGGAAAGTGTCTTGTGTTTCTGTGCGTCTGTGCACGCTCCAAAATACTTTTACATCTTGCTGTAATGAGGGAGGTGGTTTTCAAGATATAATAATTCGGTTTACATTACAAGCTTATATCCTTACTTTAAAGAGTGTGGAAAAACTGCCATCTTCATTAAAACCAAAGACACACTTCATTATCCCCATGGGGAAATGTTGCTCTGTGTGCATACATTATCACATACACATCAATGCCTAATGCCTGTCACCTTGTCTTCTCTGAGCAGCAGCTGCAGGAGCGCAGTGAGGAGCAGGATGACAGAGAGGGTCTGAAGCAGGCCATCACCGCTCTGCTCAACCTCCAGTGTAGCGTGGAGCGCATCTACACCAAACACCTGCCTCGACGCAAACCTGGGTACGTAGCTACGGGCTTCCACACTACGGCACACCCTGCAGATACCTGGGTACGTAGCTACGCTTCCACACTACGGCACACCCTGCAGATACCTGGGTACGTAGCTACGCTTCCACACTACGTCACACCCTGCAGATACCTGGGTACGAGCTACGGGCTCCACATTACGGCACACCCTGCAGATACCTGGGGTACGTAGCTACGCTTCCACATTACGGCACACCCTGCAGAACCTGGGTACGTAGCTACGGGCTTCCACATTACGGCACACCCTGCAGATACCTGGGTACGTAGCTACGCTTCCACACTACGGCACACCCTGCAGATACCTGGGTACGTAGCTACGCTTCCACACTACGGCACACCCTGCAGATACCTGGGTACGTAGCTACGGGCTTCCACATTACGGCACACCCTGCAGATACCTGGGTACGTAGCTACGCTTCCACATTACGGCACACCCTGCAGATACCTGGGTACGTAGTGCTACGGGGCTTCCACATTACGGCACACCCTGCAGATACCTGGGTACGTAGCTACGCTTCCACATTACGGCACACCCTTGCAATACCTGGGGTACGTAGCTACGCTTCCACATTACGACACACCCTGCAGATACCTGGGGTACGTAGCTACGCTTCCACATTACGGCACCCCTGCAGATACCTGGGGTACGTAGCTACGCTTCCACATTACGGCACACCCTGCAGATACCTGGGTACGTAGCTACGGGCTTCCACATTACGGCACACCCTGCAGATACCTGGGTACGTAGCTACGGGCTTCCACACTACGCCACCCTGCAGATACCTGGGTACGTAGCTACGGGCTTCCACACTACAGCACACCCTGCAGATACCTGGGAGTAGCACGGGCTTCCACATTCGGCACACCCTGCAGATACCTGGGTACTAGCTACGCTTCCACATTACGGCACACCCGCAGATACCTGGTACGTAGCTACGGGCTTCCACATTACGGCACAGCCTGCAGATACCTGGGTACGTAGCTACGCTTCCACATTACGGCACACCCTGCAGATCCTGGTACGTAGCTACGCTCCACATTACGGCACACCCTGCAGATACCTGGGTACGTAGCTACGCTTCCACATTACGGCACACCCTGCAGATACCTGGGTACGTAGCTACGGGCTTCCACATACGGCACACCCTGCAGATACTGGGTACGTAGCTACGCTTCCACATTACGGCACACCCTGCAGATACCTGGGTACGTAGCTACGGGCTTCCACATTACGGCACACCCGCAGATACCTGGTACGTAGCTACGCTTCCACATTACGGCACACCCTGCAGATACCTGGTACGTAGCTACGGGCTTCCACATTACGGCACACCCTGCAGATACCTGGGTACGTAGCTACGGGCTTCCACACTACGGCACACCCTGCAGATACCTGGGTACGTAGCTACGCTTCCACATTACAGCACACCCTGCAGATACCTGGGTACGTAGCTATGCTTCCACATTACGGTACACCCTGCAGATACCTGGGTACGTAGCTACGCTTCCACACTACAGCACACCCTGCAGATACCTGGGTACGTAGCTACGCTTCCACATTACGGCACACCCTGCAGATACCTGGGTACGTAGCTACGCTTCCACACTACAGCACACCCTGCAGATACCTGGGTACGTAGCTACGCTTCCACATTACGGCACACCCTGCAGATACCTGGGTACGTAGCTACGGGCTTCCACATTACGGCACACCCTGCAGATACCTGGGTACGTAGCTACGCTTCCACATTACGGCACACCCTGCAGATACCTGGGTACGTAGCTACGGGCTTCCACATTACGGCACACCCTGCAGATACCTGGGTACGTAGCTACGCTTCCACATTACGGCACACCCTGCAGATACCTGGGTACGTAGCTACGGGCTTCCACATTACGGCACACCCTGCAGATACCTGGGTACGTAGCTACGGGCTTCCACATTACGGCACACCCTGCAGATACCTGGGTACGTAGCTACGGGCTTCCACACTACGGCACACCCTGCAGATACCTGGGTACGTAGCTACGCTTCCACATTACAGCACACCCTGCAGATACCTGGGTACGTAGCTATGCTTCCACATTACGGTACACCCTGCAGATACCTGGGTACGTAGCTACGCTTCCACACTACGGCACACCCTGCAGATACCTGGGTACGTAGCTACGCTTCCACATTACGGCACACCCTGCAGATACCTGGGTACGTAGCTATGCTTCCACATTACGGTACACCCTGCAGATACCTGGGTACGTAGCTACGGGCTTCCACACTACGGCACACCCTGCAGATACCTGGGTACGTAGCTACGCTTCCACATTACAGCACACCCTGCAGATACCTGGGTACGTAGCTATGCTTCCACATTACGGTACACCCTGCAGATACCTGGGTACGTAGCTACGCTTCCACACTACAGCACACCCTGCAGATACCTGGGTACGTAGCTACGCTTCCACATTACGGCACACCCTGCAGATACCTGGGTACGTAGCTACGCTTCCACACTACAGCACACCCTGCAGATACCTGGGTACGTAGCTACGCTTCCACATTACGGCACACCCTGCAGATACCTGGGTACGTAGCTACGGGCTTCCACATTACGGCACACCCTGCAGATACCTGGGTACGTAGCTACGCTTCCACATTACGGCACACCCTGCAGATACCTGGGTACGTAGCTACGGGCTTCCACATTACGGCACACCCTGCAGATACCTGGGTACGTAGCTACGCTTCCACATTACGGCACACCCTGCAGATACCTGGGTACGTAGCTACGGGCTTCCACATTACGGCACACCCTGCAGATACCTGGGTACGTAGCTACGGGCTTCCACATTACGGCACACCCTGCAGATACCTGGGTACGTAGCTACGGGCTTCCACACTACGGCACACCCTGCAGATACCTGGGTACGTAGCTACGCTTCCACATTACAGCACACCCTGCAGATACCTGGGTACGTAGCTATGCTTCCACATTACGGTACACCCTGCAGATACCTGGGTACGTAGCTACGCTTCGACACTACAGCACACCCTGCAGATACCTGGGTACGTAGCTACGCTTCCACATTACGGCACACCCTGCAGATACCTGGGTACGTAGCTACGCTTCCACACTACGGCACACCCTGCAGATACTGGGTACGTAGCTACGGGCTTCCACATTACGGCACACCCTGCAGATACCTGGGTACGTAGCTACGCTTCCACATTACGGCACACCCTGCAGCTCCCTGGGTACGTAGCTACGCTTCCACATTACGGCACACCCTGCAGATACCTGGGTACGTAGCTACGGGCTTCCACATTACGGCACACCCTGCAGATACCTGGGTACGTAGCTACGCTTCCACATTACGGCACACCCTGCAGATACCTGGGTACGTAGCTACGCTTCCACATTACGGCACACCCTGCAGATACCTGGGTACGTAGCTACGCTTCCACATTACAGCACACCCTGCAGATACCTGGGTACGTAGCTACGGGCTTCCACATTACGGCACACCCTGCAGATACCTGGGTACGTAGCTACGGGCTTCCACATTACGGCACACCCTGCAGATACCTGGGTACGTAGCTACGCTTCCACATTACGGCACACCCTGCAGATACCTGGGTACGTAGCTACGGGCTTCCACATTATGGCACACCCTGCAGATACCTGGGTACGTAGCTACGCTTCCACATTACGGCACACCCTGCAGATACCTGGGTACGTAGCTACGGGCTTCCACACTACGGCACACCCTGCAGATACACACATGCTACTTCTACACATTAGATGTGATTCGTTTTCAGGTTGTTATTGTAGTTAAATAAAGGTTTTGATTGATTCCTCAGTTTCCTCACCACCCTCTCTCTCTCCTCCTCCTCCTCCTCCTCGTCCTCTTCCTCCTTCTCCAGTGAGCCCATGTACCGTCTGTACAGTCGCCAGGTGCGCAGCAAGCAGCTGGCCATTAAGCGGATGAATGAGATCCAGAAGAGCATCGACGGCTGGGAGGGGAAGGACATCGGCCAGTGCTGTTCCGAGTTTATCCTGGAGGGGGCACTCCTCCGCGCCGGCGCCAAACATGAGCGACACAACTTCCTGTTCGACGGCCTCATGATCAGCTGCAAGGCCAATCAGAGCTCCCGACTCCCCGGTTCTGGAAGCGGGGCAGAGTTCCGTCTCAAGGAGAAGTTTGTCCTGCGGAAAGTCCGCATCGTGGACCGCGAGGACTCGGCGGAGTTCAAACATGCCTTCGAACTCGTTGGTAAAGACGAGAACTGTGTGGTGTTCTGCGCTCGCTCGGCGGAGGAGAAGGGGGCGTGGATGGCGGCGCTGGTGACCCTGCAGTACCGCTCCACGTTGGACCGTATGCTAGACACTGTGCTACAACACGAGGAGCAGGCCCAGCCCCTCCGCCTGCCCTCGCCAGAGCTATACCGCTTCGCTGTGCACGACTCAGAGGAGAACATCGTGTTTGAGGACCGCGTCCAGAGCAAGACGGGGATACCCATCATTAAAGCAGGCACGGTGGTCAAGCTTATAGAGAGGCTCACATACCACATGTACGCTGGTAAGTCTGGCTGACACATAGCCTCCTACTGTGTTGTCTGTTTAAAGAGTACTCTAGGTAGGGCAGTACTCTAGGGTAGGGCAGTACTCTAGGGTAGGGCAGTACTCTAGGGTAGGGCAGTACTCTAGGGTAGGGCAGTACTCTAGGGTAGGGCAGTACTCTAGGGTAGGGCAGTACTCTAGGGTAGGCAGTACTCTAGGGTAGGGCAGTACTCTAGAGTAGGGCAGTACTCTAGGGTAGGGCAGTACTCTAGGGTAGGGCAGTACTCTAGGGTAGGGCAGTACTCTAGGGTAGGGAAGTACTCTAGGGTAGGGCAGTACTCTAGGGTAGGGCAGTACTCTAGGGTAGGGCAGTACTCTAGGGTAGGGCAGTACTCTAGGGTAGGGCAGTACTCTAGGGTAGGGCAGTACTCTAGGGTAGGGCAGTACTCTAGGGTAAGGCAGTACTCTAGGGTAGGGCAGTACTCTAGGGTAGGGCAGTACTCTAGGGTAGGGCAGTACTCTAGGGTAAGGCAGTACTCTAGGGTAGGGCAGTACTCTAGGGTAAGGCAGTACTCTAGGGTAGGGCAGTACTCTAGGGTAGGGCAGTACTCTAGGGTAGGGCAGTACTCTAGGGTAAGGCAGTACTCTAGGGTAGGGCAGTACTCTAGGGTAAGGCAGTACTCTAGGGTAGGGCAGGGGTAGGCAACTAGATTCAGCCACCGGAAAAATTTTTATTGGCGCGGACGGTCGGGGGGACGGAACATATTGTGTGTATATATATATATATATATATATACAGTACCAGTCAAAAGTTTGGACACAAGGTCTTTTCTTAATTTTTTATTTTCTAGATTGTAGAATAATAGTGAAGACATCAAAACTATGAAATAACACATATGGAAGTGTTAAACAAATCAAAATATATTTTATATTTGAGATTCTTGATGACAGCTTTGCACACTTGGCATTCTCTCAACCAGCTTCACCTGGAATGCTTGAAGTCTTGAAGGTGTTCCCACATATGCTGAGCATTTGTTGGCTGCTTTTCCTTCACTCTGCGGTCCGACTCACCCCAAACCATCTCAATTTGGTTGAGGTCGGGGATTGTGGAGGCCAGGTCATCTGATGCAGCACTCCATCACTATCCTTCTTGGTCAAATAGGTGTTGGGTCATTGTCCTGTTGAAAAACAAATGAAGCCCAAACCAGATGGGATGGCGTATCACTGCAGAATGCTGTGGTAGCCATGCTGGTTAAGTGTGCCTTGAATTCTAAATAAATCACAGACAGTGTCACCAGCAAAGCACCCCCACACCATAACACCTCCTCCTCCATGCTTTACGGTGGGAAATACACATGCGGAGATCATCCGTTCACCCACACCGCGTCTCACAAAGACACGGTGGTTGGAACCAAAAATCTCCAATTTGGACTCCAGACCAAAGGATACATTTCCACTGGTCTAATGTCCATTGCTCGTGTTTCTTGGCCCAAGCAAGTCTCTTCTTCTTATTGGTGTCCTTTAGTAGTGGTTTCTTTGCAGAAATTGACCATGAAGGCCTGATTCACGCAGTCTCCTCTGAACAGTTGATGTTGAGATGTGTCTGTTACATAAACTCTGTGAAGCATTTTATTTGGGCTGCAATTTCTGAGGCTGGTAACTCTGATGAACTTATCCTCTGCAACAGAGGTAACTCTGGGTCTTCCTTTCCTGTGGCGGTCCTCATGAGAGCCAGTTTCATCATAGCGCTTGATGGTTTTTACGACTGCACTTGATGAAACTTTTAAAGTTCTTGACATTTTTGACTGACCTTCATGTCCTAAACTAATGATGGACTGTAATTTCTCTTTGCTTATTTGAGCTGTTCTTGCCATAATATGGACTTGGTCTTTTACCAAATAGGGCTATCTTCTGTATACCCCCCCTACCTTGTCACAACACAACTGATTGGCTCAAACGCATTAAGAAGGAAAGAAATTCCACAAATTAAGGACACACCTGTTAATTGAAATGCATTCCAGGCGACTACCTCATGAAGCTGGTTGAGAGAATGGCCAAGAGCGTGCAAAGCTGTCATCAAGGCAAAGGGTGGCTATTTCAATCAAATCACACCGCCTGTTGCCAACCCCTGGTTTATGGCGTACAATATCAGGTATTCCCTGTGCAAAGACATCCAAAGACATTACAGATGCAAAGAAATTACATTATTTATGGATGCAAAGTGTTATGAATCAATAATTGATATGCTGTCCTTTAGATCCCAACTTTGTGCGCACCTTTCTGACCACCTACCGGTCCTTTTGCAAGCCTCAGGAGCTCCTCGACCTCTTGATAGACAGGTAGGTCCGACCTGCTTACCAGTGTGTTGTGTTTGTGCAGGGGGCCAAGAGATCTTTCAACTTTTATTGTCACGTGCACAGTGAAATGCCTTTCTTGCAAACTCTTTCCCAACAATTCAGTGTTCAATATCAATTCAGTGTTCAACATCAATTTGGTAATCAACATCAATTCGGTAATCAACATCAATTCAGTAATCAACATCAATTCAGTAATCAACATCAATTCAGTAATCAACATCAATTCAGTAATCAACATCAATTCAGTATCAATATCAATTCGGTATTCAACATCAATTCAGTATTCAACATCAATTCAGTAATCAACATCAATTCAGTAATCAACATCAATTCAGTAATCAACATCAATTCAGTAATCAACATCAGTAGTATAAAGTAGAACGAAAACACACAGGAAGTGAATTTCCCGTTTTATGTCCCTGGAGGGACAATAGCAATAAAATAAGTTAAATTGTACTATATTGTGCATCCCAAATGGCACCCTTGGACCCTGGTCAAAAGTAGTACACTATAAAAGGAATAGGATGCCATTTGTGACGCATTCCTAAGACTGTATCCTTGACTCCTAACCTGTTGAGATGGTGCTGCTCTACTCTGTGTTGACGGTAACATGGCTGTGTTGTCTGCTAGTTCTGTTCTCACCTCCTCCAGATTGGATGACACCTGTATAAAGCTGTGGTTGTCTGTGTTCTATGTTCTGTGGTTTGAATTTTTATTATTATTAATTATTTTTTTGCATTGGGTGTGAGGAAAAGCGCTTTACAAATTAAATGAATTATTATTATTTTTGACACACAGGATTGAGATCCCAGAGCCAGAGCCCACTGAGGCAGACAAACAGGCTCTATGGAACGGGGATCAGCCAATGGCTGCAGAGCTACAGAGGTTCCGCAGGGAGTATGTCCAACCGGTCCAACTCAGGTATAATCACCACTGTCCAATCATACTCCTTCCCACTGTCCAAACAAACTCCGCCCCACCATCCAATCAGACTCCTTCTCACGATCCCACTGTCCAATCAGAGTCCTTCTCACATCCCACTGTCCAATCAGAGTCCATCGCACCATCCCACTGTCCAATCAGAGTCCATCGCACTATCCCACTGTCCAATCAGAGTCCATCGCACCATCCCGCTGTCCAATCAGAGTCCTTCTCACATCCCACTGTCCAATCAGAGTCCTTCTCACATCCCACTGTCCAATCAGAGTCCATCGCACCATCCCACTGTCCAATCAGAGTCCATCGCACCATCCCACTGTCCAATCAGAGTCCATCGCACCATCCCGCTGTCCAATCAGACTCATCCTCCCTCCTTGGTGTGGCAGTCCTCTAGCTATCAGAGTTATTCCATCATCCCCATTCCTGTGGCCCTAACCTCCGTCTTTCGACTGTGGCATCTCTCAAGATAGTTTTTACTGGCCACTGTGCTTCAGCCTCTGCTTGCTCTTTGGTGTCTAGGCCGGGTTTCTGTAAAGCACAGTAGATAACTGTTGATATAAAAAGTGCTTTATAAATGAATTTAATTGATTATCATTCACCTCTCTCTCAGGGTCCTGAATGTGTTCCGTCAGTGGGTGGAACATCATTTCTATGACTTTGAGAACGACCCTGAGCTACGAGGCAGACTGGAGGAGTACATCAGTAGCATTATACAGCTACGAGGTACTACCGCACCACTACAGTACTACCTCAATACCACTTCAATACTACCTCAATACTACAGTACCACTACAGTACCACCTCAATATTACAGTACCACTACAGTACTACCTCAATATTACAGTACCACAACAATACTACAGTACCACTACCTCAATATTACAGTACCACCTCAATATTACACATCGGCACCACTACAATATTACAGTACCACAACAGAACTACCTCAATACTACAGTACCACTACAGTACTACCTCAATACCACTGCAGTACTACCTCAATACTACAGTACCACTGCAGTACTACCTCAATACTACAGTACCACTACAGTACCACCTCAATATTACAGTACCACTACAGTACCACTACAGTACTACCTCAATACTACAGTACCACTACAGTACTACCTTAATACTACTACAGTACCAGTACAGTACTACCTCAATACTACAGTACATTTACATTTACATTTTAGTCATTTAGCAGACGCTCTTATCCAGAGCGACTTACAGGAGCAATTAGGGTTAAGTGCCTTGCTCAAGGGCACATCGACAGATTTTTCACCTAGTCGGCTCGGGGATTAGAACCAGCGACCTTTCGGTTACTGGCACAACGCTCTTAACCACTAAGCTACCTGCCGCCCCAGTACTACTACAGTACCACAACAGTACTACCTAAATACTACTACAGTACCACTACAGTACCACCTCAATACTACAGTACCACTTCAATACTACAGTACCACTACAGTACCACAACAGTACTACCTCAATACTACAGTACCACTACAATACCACCTCAATATTACAACACCACTACAGTACCACTACAATACCACCTCAATATTACAGCACCACTACAGTACCACCTCAATACTACTACAGTACCACTTCAATACTACAGTACCACTACAGTACCACTTCAATACTACAGTACCACTACAGTACCACTTCAATACTACAGTACCACTACAGTACCACAACAGTACTACCTCAATACTACTACAGTACCACCTCAATACTACAGTACCACTACAGTACCACAACAGTACTACCTCAATACTACTACAGTACCACTTCAATACTACAGTACCACTACAGTACCACTTCAATACTACAGTACCACTACAGTACCACTTCAATACTACAGTACCACTACAGTACCACAACAGTACTACCTCAATACTACTACAGTACCACCTCAATACTACAGTACCACTACAGTACCACTTCAATACTACAGTACCACTACAGTACCACAACAGTACTACCTCAATACTACTACAGTACCACCTCAATATTACAGTACCACTACAGTACCACCTCAATACTACAGTACCACAACAGTACTACCTCAATACTACTACAGTACCACTACAATACCACCCCAATATTACAGGACCACTACAGTACCACTACAGTACTACCTCAATACTACTACAGTACCACTGCAGTACTACTACACTACCACTACAGTATCACTACAGTACTATTACAATACTAATACAGTATCACTACAGTACTATTACAATACTACTACAGTACCACTACAGTACTACTTCAATACTACTACAGTACCACTAAAGTACTACTACAATGCTATTACAATACTACTACAGTACCACTACAATACTAATACTACAGTACTACTACAATACTACTACAGTACAACAGCAATACTACTATAGTACTAATACCAGGGGTTGGAACCGTTCAAGAAACAGAACCGAAAATAACAAAAAAATGTTAAAGGAACAGAAACGGAACCAGGAACGAAAGTGAGCCATACTGTTCCGGAACAGAGACGTTATTTTAAAAGCACGGGAACTGGTTAAGAACGTTATTTTATGTTCCAGGCATTTTTTTTCTAGTCCCTCAAAAAAACGCAAAACAAAGTGCCTATGCAAACTCTCACTCTGTCACTCAGAAACGTATTCCAGTGTCTGCCTGCAAGATGAACATCTTTGCCTGTGTGTGTGTGTGTGTGTGCGCATGTTTTTGGCTACCTGCCCCTCCCATCTCCGAACAATAGGCTACTGCAGGGGTGTCAAACGTCCGGCCCGCGGGCCGGATCAGGCCCGCAAACGGGTTTAATCCGGCCCGCGAGATGATTTTGAAAAAATAAAAAATAAAAGTAAAGTATAAAAATGCGCTGCAATTTTTCAATAAAATAAACTGCTGTTCCAATTGCGTCCACTGGATGGCGCAATAGCAGTTGTGTTAAGCAAGCAAGCTGTTTATACCGGGGCAGAGCAAGTAGGTCAAGCACGTGCAGCCAATGAGCTACTTTGTTTTGCCCGCGATATTTATTACGGCTTCTACTTTTAACATTATGTGCTTTGGCACCCTCATTGCCCCAATATGTCTCTGTCAAAAAAAAGAAAAGTGGACGCAGAGTGCAGAGTGTTCCAAGAAAAATGGTCATCCTATTTATTTTCATGGAATTGAATGGGAAAGCTGTATGTTTGGTGTGTTCAGAGCATGTTGCAGTGCTGAAAGAATATAACCTTCGTCGCCACTATGTGAGTCTTCATGCCGACAAATATGACAACTTTCAAGGACAGCGGAGATGAGAGAAGGTGAATGAACTGTTGGCGGGTCTGAAGAAACAGCAGTCTGTGTTTACTCACAGCCGAGACATCAGTGACGCTGCAGTGAAAGCTAGCTACCTCATTGCTAATGAAATCGCAGTGGCTTCAAAACCATTTAGTGAGGGTGAATTTGTAAAAACATGCATGATGAAGGCAGCGGAGATTGTGTGCCCTGAAAAGCGGCAGGCTTTTGCAAATATCAGCCTGACAAGAAACACAGTTGCAGACAGGATTTCCGATCTTTCAGTGGATTTGGACAGCCAGTTGAAGCAAAAAGTAAAGTCATTTATTGCGTTTTCGGTTGCAATTGATGAAAGCACGGACATTACAGATGTTGCACAACTGGCCATTTTCATCCGCGGAGTTGATGACACATTGACCGTCACCGAGGAGTTCGTGGAGTTGGTGCCGATGACAGATACAACGACAGCAGCTGATATTTTTACCGCACTCGTCGGCGCGCTGGACAGGGTCGGAGTGGACTGGTCCCGCGCTGTCAGCCTGGCTACAGATGGTGCGTCCTCAATGATCGGGAAAAAAGCAGGCGTTGTGACAAAGTTCAGAGAGAAAGTGCAATCTGCAAATGGAGGACGTGATTTTTTTGACTTTTCACTGTATTTTGCACCAGGAGGCTTTGTGTTGCAAGTCATTAAAGATGGATAACGTCATGAAGGTGGTCATCCAAACTGTTAATTTCATCCGATCCAGAAGCCTGAATCACCGTCAGTTTGACAGCCTTCTCAGAGAGAAAGACCACATCTATGGCCTGCCATACCACACTGAGGTAAGATGGTTAAGCCGAGGTGCTGTGCTGAGGCGTTTCTCTGATTTACGAGAAGAAATTGAACAGTTCATGGAAGAAAAGGGCAAACCAGTGTTAGAATTTCATTCCGCAGAATGGATGCAGGACCTTGCATTTATGGTGGATGTTACAGAGCACCTGAATAACTTGAACAAACAGCTGCAAGGGCGCAACAAAGTTGTCACGCAGTATTATGACAGCATACGTTCTTTCAAGTTGAAGCTGTCATTGTGGGAGACGCAACTTGCCGGTGGTGATGCAGCTCACTTCCCCTGTCTGAAAAATGTGTGCGCGACCCAACATGTGGCAGACATGAAGCGGTTCAAAGATAAAATAACGGGACTGTTACGGGAGTTTGAGCAACGCTTTCAGATTTATGTTTATATGTTTTTATGTTGATGTGCTATTGTTTTTAATTGATTTTATTTTATTTGTATATTTAACCTATTCTTGACTCTGTGGTTCTTGCACTTGTTTGGGAAACAGGATTTCATTATTTTTATCTACATTTCTGCCTGAGAAATGACACCCTGACATAGTTCTGTGATCTGTGAAACAGTTCTGTTAATCACTGAGGCATTGTGTGTTTGTGTGTTCTTTTTCTTTAGAATTTTCAAATAAACTTGACGTGTTTTATGATTAATAGTGATGTTGTGCTTGTACTATTTTGGACACACTGTCCTCAGGCTCCAGCTTTATGTTGTATGTTGATCGTATTAAAACAAAGAAAACAATCTGAAGTTGTTGTTTTTAAGTTATATATACCATGATTTTTCCGGTCCGGCCCACTTGGGAATAGATTTTCCTCCATGTGGCCCCTGAGCTAAAATGAGTTTGACACCCCTGGGCTACTGTATTGAAGTTACACACCAGGCCATTATAAGCATGATTCAGAAGATGGGGTGAGAGATTTTTTTATTAGCTAGAGAAGAGTGTATTAACTTTTTCAATTCTAGTTAAGGATACTCTAGGCCTAGTTATAATGTTTCACGTTGGATTTATTAACTACAAAAAAGGTAAGACGTGTTTTTAGTTCTGGTGCCGCTCTGCACACACAAGCTTGTTAGCTAGCTAGCTCAAAGGACTTTAAAAGTTCCTTCATAGAAGCCGCTCCTCCGTAGGTATAATTCTGTGGACCTAATTCAGATAATGCATGTCATAACAAGATGCCCAGCGCTGTAAGCCCCCTCAACCCTCTCTCGCTCTCTCCCCACCCATAACATTTCAGTCGCGTCTTGCGTCATAGGCTACACTTGTCTGTCCATCACGCATGTAAACAACTAGCTTGCCTGCTCTGTCCGCACTGATTGGTGAAGTAATTTAATGAGCTAAATGAAATGAAAAAAACGTGTTGATTTCACAGGTTCAGAAAGGAACAGAAAGGAACAGAAAGGAACGATAGAAACTGTTACTTTTTTGGGGGGGTTCGAAACGGTTCACAGCTTTATTTAGCTGTTTGGAACAGTGGAACATAACGAAAAAAAAGTGTGGTTCTGGTCAGAACTAAACGATTGGAAAATAATTTCGGTTCCAACCCCTGACTACTACAGTACTACTTCAATACTACTACAGGACTACTTCAATACTACTACAGGACTACTTCAATACTACTACAGTACTACTTCAATACTACTACAGGACTACTTCAATACTACTACAGGACTACTTCAATACTACTACAGTACTACTTCAATACTACTACAGGACTACTTCAATACTACTACAGGACTACTTCAATACTACTATAGGACTACTTCAATACTACTACAGGACTACCTCAATACTACAACCTCAATACTACTACAGTACTACCTCAATACTACTACAGGACTACTTCAATACTACTACAGGACTACCTCAATACTACTACAGGACTACCTCAATACTACTATAGGACTACCTCAATACTACTTCAGGACTACCTCAATACTACTACAGGACTACCTCAATACTACTATAGGACTACCTCAATACTACTTCAGGACTACCTCAATACTACTTCAGGACTACCTCAATACTACTACAGGGCTACCTCAATACTACTACAGGACTACCTCAATACTACTACAGGACTACCTCAATACTACTACACTACTACAGTACTACTACAATACTTCTCACTACAATACCAATATTTCATTCACAGGGACACATTTTGCAGTTTTCACTACTTTTATTATTTACTAGTCACTTATGTTATTGTGCAGAAAATGTTATCAAGTTTTAATTTTAGTTGCTATGTGTAATGAATGCGTTGGTGTCCACCAGAACTCTCACAATAAAATAGTACGGTGTTAGAGTCTCAAACGTTTACTTCTAACCTTTGATAGGGACTGGACAATGGTCATGTTTTAGTTTAATTTAGCTTAATTGTCATGAATGATAAAAACATGAAAACAAGTCCTTGTTTTTTTTACGAGTGACTTGTCACGTGTCCCTTCCCCAGGCAAGTCTATGAGGAAGTGGGTGGAGTCTATCAACAAGATCATCAAGAGGAAGATTCAGACTCAGTCCAACGGGGTCAGCCACAACATCACCTTCGAGAGTCCGCCCCCGCCCATCGAGTGGCACATCAGCCGCCTGGGCCAGACGGACACCTTTGACCTCATGACCCTTCACCCCATAGAGATCGCCCGCCAGCTCACCCTGTTGGAATCAGAGCTATACAGGTTAGACTGACACCTACTGTTACCATGGTGATCAGTGACACCTAATTTACTGATCTGACCTGCCAGCCAATTGAAGCTATCAGACCATAGGACTGTAGAAAAATGTTGTTTTAATGTAATATGTTGAACAGGGGGACTATGGATCGTCCAGAGGTGACGAGACGTGCTGCGCAGTGTGTTACTGCCTTATTGAACTGTTACTGCCCCCTTCTCTCCCCAGGGCTGTGAGGCCGTCAGTGTGTTACTGCCTTATTGAACTGTCACTGCCCCCTTCTCTCCCCAGGGCTGTGAGGCCGTCAGTGTGTTACTGCCTTATTGAACTGTTACTGCCCCCTTCTCTCCCCAGGGCTGTGAGGCCGTCAGTGTGTTACTGCCTTATTGAACTGTTACTGCCCCCTTCTCTCCCCAGGGCTGTGAGGCCGTCAGTGTGTTACTGCCTTATTGAACTGTTACTGCCCCCTTCTCTCCCCAGGGCTGTGAGGCCGTCAGTGTGTTACTGCCTTATTGAACTGTTACTGCCCCCTTCTCTCCCCAGGGCTGTGAGGCCGTCAGTGTGTTACTGCCTTATTGAACTGTTACTGCCCCCTTCTCTCCCCAGGGCTGTGAGGCCGTCTGAGCTGGTGGGGAGTGTCTGGACCAAACAGGACAAGGAGAATAACTCTCCCAACCTGCTGAGAATGATCCGCCACACCACCAACCTCACACTGTGGTTCGAAAAGTGAGTAGTAGTAGTAGTAGTAGTAGTAGTAGCAGTGGTGGGTAGTAGTGGTGGTGGTAGTAGTAGTAGTAGTAGTAGTGTAGTAGTAGTAGTATAGTAGAACTGTCAGTAGTAGTAGTAGAGGTAGTAGAACTGTAATAGTAGTAGTAGTACGTAGTAGTAGTAGTAGTAGCTAGAGAAACTGTAGTAGTAGTAGTTAGTTAGAACTGTAGTAGTAGTAGTAGGGTTTAGTAGTAGTAGTAGAAGTAAGTAGCAGTAGTAGCAGTATAGTAGTAAGGGTAGCAGTGGTGGGTAGTGGTGGTGTGGGTAGTGGTGGTGGTAGTCGTAGTAGTAGTAGTAGTATAGTAGTAGTAGTAGTGTACAGTAAAACTGAAAAGTAGTAATTTATAGTAGAAAATTTTAGTAGTAGTAGTGGGTGTAGTAAAACCCCTGTAGTAGTGGGTAGAAAGTGGGCCGTATTTAGAACTTTTGTAGTAGTATTTAGTACCCATTTTATTTTTAGTAGTATAGAATTTTGGGTAGAATTGTAGTAGAAACTGAGTTAGTAGTATTTTTAGTATTTAGTAGTAGCAGTGGTGGGTGGAAAGTGGGGTGTAGTGTAGTAGTAGTAGTAGTAGCGTTAGTAGTGGTTTATGTTTAGTGTCGTATATAGTAGGGGGGTTAGTGGTGGTGGAAAGGTAGAGTAGTAGAGTTTTGGTTTGTAGTTAGTGGTGGTGGTATAGTAGTATTTAGAATTTCCGGAAGTTTTTTAGAATTGTTAGTAGAGCAGTGGTGGTGGTTTAATAGTGGTGGGGGTTTGGGGGGCCCCCGGTTTTAGTAGTAGAAGTAGCAGTAATAGTAAAAAAAGAAATTTGGTTTAAAAACCGGGGGTTTTTAAGGGGTTTAACCGGGGTCCTTTCAGGGGTGGAATACTTTTTGAAACAGAGTCAATCAAATATAAAAAGGGTAAAACTTTATGAAAACAGGCCCCAAACTTTAAAATTTGCCCAATAAAGAAATTTTTTTGTACTGTGTGCCTACTGAAAATCCCCCCTTAATAAAACAAAAACCTACTAAACATTTTCCTTGCTGTAATCAGCCCTTTTAAATTTTAAAAATGATACCCTTTTCTCTCTATTCGCTTTTTCCTTCTATTTCTTTTCTCTCTTTATCTCTCTCCTCCCCTTATTTCTTCTTTCTTTTATCTCCTCTATTTGCCCCGCTTTTCTTTCTCCTTCCTTTTCTCTCTTTACCCTTCGGGTTCTCTATATTTTGTCTCTCCCCTCTCTCGTTCTCTTTCTCTTCTCTTTCTCTCTCTTTGCCCCCTTTTCTCTCTTTCTTTTGTCCCCCTTTTCTCTCTTTTTCTCTCTCTCTCTCTCTCCCTTTTTTGGGTTCTCTCCCCTCTCTTCCCTTCTTTTTCTTTCGTTTTCCTTTTTCTTTTCTTCCGGGCTCCCTCCCCTTCTCTTGTCTCTTCTCATGTTATGGTCTTTTCTCTCTCTTTTATCTCTTTCTTTTGTCTCTTTTCCGCCCCCGGTCTATTTCTCTTTTGCCCTCTTCCCCTTTTCTTCTCTCTGTCTTGGCTTTGTCTTTTCTGCTCTTTTTCCCCTTCCTCTCTCTTCTCCCTCCCCTTCTCTCTCTCTCTTCTTTTCCTCTTTTCTCCTCTCTCTCTTTTCTCAATAAATTTTCAATTTCAATAGACTTTATGAAAATTGGCAAGTAAAAAAATAAAACCACATTGTAAAAGTATAGAAAAACCCAAAAATGGTGGGACCAACAGAAAATTAAAATAGAAGTAGGGAAAAAAGGGGAAAACCTTAAAAACAAAAACTACAACAATCAATACTTTAAAGCAAAGTAGTCGACCAGTCTCAAAATACTGAAAAGGACACTTTTAATGGTAAAACCCCAACCCAAAAAAAACAGGAAAATTTTTTTGACTTACTTTACTTTTTTCACTGGCTGTCCCTCGGGTTTGTGGCGGGAGGCACAAATTTGGCTGGCCAAAATTGCCTTTTTGGCTTTTCCCCAATAAATATTAAAAATTTTTTTCTTTCTTTTTTATTTTAAAAAATTTTTGTACTAAAATGAAAAATTTTGGGAAAGAAAGTTTTCTCTTAGGGGAGGAATTTTTTTTAAAAAGGGGGTTTTAGGAAAGGCAGCTCTGTCTCTACCTCCCCCCGGGGGGCAGGGGGGCCCCAAACCGGGGGAAACCTTTGGCCTCTCGGGAAACCCCGGGTTTCCCACTGATCCGGTTTTTCTTTTGGGCAACTTCTCATTTTAATTCCTTATCTTTATCTTTTTTGTTTAATTCTTTTCTTTTTTCTTTTCTCTCTTTTGCCCTTTTTCTTTTTTTCCCCTAGGGGTTCTTCTCTTTTTCTCTTTTTTCCCCCTCTTCTCTCTTTGTTTCCTTCCTGTCTCTCGTCTTTTTTATTTTCTCTATGTCTTCTCTCCCTCTCGTTTTTCTTCTCTCTTTTATTTTTGGTCTCTTTTTTTGGGTTTTCTCTTTCTTTTCTCTTCCTCTCTTTTTCTCTCTCTCTCTTCTAGTTTTCTCTCTCTTTTTCTCTCTCTCTTTCTCTCTTCGGGTTTTTTCTATTTGTCTCTCTTTTCTTCTGTCTCTTTTTTCTCTTTGTCTCTCTCCTCTCGTGTCTTCTTTTCCCCCTTTTGTCTCTCTCCTCTCTCTCTCTCTCTCTCTCTCTGCTCTCTGTCTCTCTCTCTCTCTGCTCTCTCTCTCTGTCTCTCTCTCTCTATCTCTCTGTCTCTCTCTGTCTCTCTCTCTCGCTCTCTCTCTCTCTCTCAATTCAATAAAATTCAATTTAAGGGCTTTATTGGCATGGGAAATGTATGTTAACATTGCCAAAGCAAGTGAAGTAGATAGTAAACAAAAGTGAAATAAACAATAAATATTAACAGTAAACATTACACTCAGAAGTTCCAAAAGAATAAAGACATTTCAAGTGTCATATTATGTCTATATGCAGTGTTGTAACGATGTGCAAATAGTTAAAGTACAAATGGGAAAATAAATAAACATAAATATGGGTTGTATTTACAATGGTGTTTGTTCTTCACTGGTTGCCCTTTTCTTGTGGCAACAGGTCACAAATCTTGCTGCTGTGACGGCACACTGTGGTATTTCACCCAATAGATATGGGAGTTTATCAAAATTGGGTTTGCTTTCTAATTCTTTGTGGGTTTGTGTAATCTGAGGGAAATATGTGTCTCTAATATGGTCATACATTTGGCAGGAGGTTAGGAAGTGCAGCTCAGTTTCCACCTCATTTTGTGGGCATTGTGTCTGCCTACGGCGGCCTTTCTCAATAGCAAGGCTATGCTCACTGAGTCTGTAAATAGTCAAAGCTTTCCTTAAGTTTGGGTCAGTCACAGTGGTCAGGTATTCTGCTCAGGAGTCCCCTCGAAGCCTACCATTGACTATGTACAGACCCAGTGTGCGACAGAGCTGCAGGAGTTGTGACCCGTTTTTGTTGGTTATGTTGTCGTAGTTGTGCCTAGGGGGGCATATGGGGGAGGGAATGCTGTCACCTCCAGGTAGGTGTTTGTCCCCCTGTGTGCTGAGGGTGTCAGGTTCTGTCCAGTTCTGGCATTTAGGTCGCCACAGACTAGTACATGTCCCTGGGTCTGGAAATTGATTGATTTCCCCCTCCAGGATGGAGAAGCTGTCTTCATTAAAGTATGGGGATTCTAGTGGGGGGATATAGGTAGCACACAGGAGTACATTTTTCTCTGTTGAGATCATTTCCTTTTGGAATTTCTAGCCAAATGTAAAATGTTCCTGTTTTGATTCATTTAATAGAGTGAGTTAGGTTGCTCTATACCAAATTAGCATACCCCCTGAGTCCCTTCCCTGTTTCACACCTGGTAGTTTGGTGGATGGGACTACCAGCTCTCTGTAACCTAGAGGGCAACCCAGTGGGTCAGTCTCCTCTATACCATGTTTCTTGTAGGATGACAATGTCTGTATTTCTGATTTCTTTGGTGAAGTCCAGGTTCCTGCTCTTTAGGCCAAAGCCAGATGACCTCAGGCCTTGGATATTTTCTCTCTCTCTGTCTCTCTCTCTCTCTCCGCTCTGTCTCGCCTCTCTTCTCTCGCTCTCTCTTCGCTCTTATCTCTCTTGTCTCTATCTCTTTTCTCTCTCTATGTCTTCTCTATGTCTCTCTCGCTCTATGTCTCTCTCTCTCTGTCTCTGTCGTCTATCTCTCTGCTCTCTCTCTCTGTCTATCTCTCGCTCTGTCTCTCTCTCTCTCTATCTCTCTCTGACTCTCTCTCTGTCTTCGCTCTGTTTCTCTCTCTCTCTCGCTCTGTCTTGTCACTTATCTCTCTCTCTCTATCTCTGTCTTCTATCTATGTCTCTCTGTCTCTGTCTCTCCTTGTTATCTCTCTCGTTATCATCATCTCTGTCCTGTCTCTCTCTTCTGTCATCTCTCTGTCTCTCTCTTAGTCGCTCTCTCTCGCGTCTCTTCTCTCTCTGTTGTCTTCTGTCTCTCTCTGCTCTGTCTTCTCTCTCGCTCTGCTCTCTCGCTCTCTCTCTCTCTCTCGCTCTGTCTCTCTCGCTCTCTCTCTCTCTCTCGCTCTGTCTCTCTCTCTCGCTCTGTCTCTCTCTCTGTCTCTCTCTCTGTCTCTCTCTCTCTGTCTCTCTCTCTGTGTCGCTCTGTCTCTCTTGCTCTGTCTCTCTCTCTGTGTCGCTCTGTCTCTCTTGCTCTGTCTCTCCTGTCTCTCTCTCTCTGTCTCTCTCTCTCTGTCTCTCTCTCTGTGTCGCTCTGTCTCTCTCTGTCTTTCTCTCTCTCGTCTCTCTCTCGCTGTCTCTCTCTCGCTCTCTCGATGTCTGTCTCTCAGTCTCTGTCTCTCCGTCTCTGTCTCTGTCTCCGTCTCTCTCTGTTTGTCTCTCTCTCTGTCTCCGTCTCTCTCTCACTCTGTCTCTCTCTCTCTTTCAGGTGTATTGTGGAAGCAGAGAACCTGGATGAGAGGGTAGCCGTGTTCACGCGGGTCATTGAGATCCTCCAGGTGTTTCAGGAGCTCAACAATTTCAACGGTGTTCTGGAGGTGGTCTCTGCCATCAACTCTGTCCCTGTCTACCGGCTGGATCACACCTTTGAGGTGAACACACAGCTACGCTGCACCCTGTTCTCTATATAGCCGGGCTCTGGTCCTCTGTAGCTCAGCTGGTAGAGCACGGCGCTTGTAACGCCAAGGTAGTGGGTTCGATCCCCGGGACCACCCCATACACAAAAATGTATGCACGCATGACTGTAAGTCGCTTTGGATAAAAGCGTCTGCTAAATGGCATATTATTATTATTTATTATTATTATTATTATTATAAAAGTAGTGCACTATATAGACAATAGGTTACCATTTCAGGTCAAAAGTAGTGCACTATGTAGGGAATAAGGGTGCCATTTGGAACGCACAGTGGTCAGTTTAACCAACCATTACTGTTAGTAGCAGATCCTGGCCAGTAAGCCTTTAGCCATACACAGGAATCTATATCTCACAAGACTCATATCGTGTTGGGTGCAAGGTTGAGGTCAATCCCATTTACATTCAAGAAGTAAACTGAAATTCCAATTCATGCAATATGAAATAGAATTGACCCTAACCCTGCCAGAATGCAACGTGTACTGTCTGGTAACTGGTCCTGTGTGGCTTAGTCGCTAAAGCATGGCGCTTGCAACGCCAAAGGGCCGTGGGTTCAATTCCCGCTGTGGCCAACAATATGTAAAATGTGTGCATGACTAAGTCGCTTAAAAGCGTCTGCTAAATGGTACATATTATTATTATATTACTTGTTGGGCACTAAGACCAGAGATAATATTTTACTGAGCAGCAAGGTCCAGTATGTAGCTTCGTGGGTCGACCCGACCAAATTAACATAGAAATGTTAGTTTATAGATCTGTCATTCGCATTGAAAATGCAAAAGTAGAGATATTGTCGTGGTCTCGTCTTCAGGGTCTAAGAGTAAAAGCATCTAGGGAGGTGGAATGCCCAGGGCCATTTAAGAAGTACTGGCCGTAAAGTTATCAACCAAACCTTGCTTTTTGTAGCTATATGGCAGGTTAAGTTGCATTAACAGGACATTTATCCAACAACGAATACTGTCGGCATGAGTGACAATCGATCCCAGTGTACATTCAAGGAAGTCAAACCTGGGATGTCCATGCAGCACCAAGCTGACCATGGATGATTAATGACCGGTGTGGGTTGCAACTTCTTGACCATGTGTCTCTCTGTCCAGTGATTCTATTGACCAACTTTCACGAAGACAAGGACAAACCCGCCCTTGAAGGGAACACGCAAAGAGTGATAACTTCAGTAAGAGAGGAAAGTAAGCCGCAGCAATCAAGGGATGATAGCGTACCAGACCAGCCTTACGTCAAGGCAGCAGGAATAGGTATAAATCAACACGCTTAATGTCGGTAGCGAGGATCTTACTAGACACGTTCAGCAGTGTCGTGTCTCAGTCCAGCGGACATCACTGAGGAACCAGCTTCCTCAAGACAGGACATCAGGGAACAACCAGCCTTTGTCAAGGTCCGAGGACATCAAAGGTAATCAACCACCTTCTGTCTCAGGTCCAGAGCTAAGGCCGAATTCAAAGCCATGTTAAGCAGCATGTATCCAAAGGTACAGCCTTCGTCTCAAGGTGGGACAAAAGTAATACCAGTTGGGGGCCGGTCGCGGATAGGAACCCAGCACTGTCTCAGGTAGAGGCTCAGGTATCAGCCAGCTAATGCTCAAGGTCGCAGGATAAGGTATAACAGCCGACTGTCAAGGTTCCAGCAGGACATCGGTATAACAGCCTTCTGTCTCAAGGTCCGCAGGGAATCGGTATCAACCAGCCTACTGTCTCAAGGCAGAGGACCGGTAATCCCGACTCTGTCCTCAAGAGCAGGCAAAGGCTATCAACCAGTTAACTGTCAAAGTCAGCAGGACATCAAGGAGGATAACCCAGCTAGCTAAGCCCAGAACAAGGCCCCTTACTGTCTCAAGGTCCAGCAGGACATCAAGGTAATCAACCAGCCTTACTGTCTCAAGGTCCAGCAGGACATCAAGGTAATCAACCAGCCTTACTGTTCAAGGTCCAGCAGGACATCAAGGTAATCAACCAGCCTTACTGTTCTCAAGGTCCAGCAGGACATCAATGTACATCAACCAGCCTTACTGTCTCAAGGTCCAGCAGGACATCAAGGTAATCAACCCAGCCTTACTGTCTCAAGGTCCAGCAGGACATCAAGGTAATCAACCAGCCTTACTGTCTCAAGGTCCAGCAGGACATCAAGGTAATCAACCAGCCTTACTGTCTCAAGGTCCAGCAGGACATCAAGGTAATCAACCAGCCTTACTGTCTCAAGGTCCAGCAGGACATCAAGGTAATCAACCAGCCTTACTGTCTCAAGGTCCAGCAGGACATCAAGGTAATCAACCAGCCTTACTGTCTCAAGGTCCAGCAGGACATCAAGGTAATCAACCAGCCTTATTGTATCAAGGTCCAGCAGGACATCAAAATTAAATAATAATAATAATATAAATTGGTCATTTAGCAGACGCTCTTATCCAGAGCGACTTTACAGGAGAAATTAGGGTTAAGTGCCTTGCTCAAGGCCACAGGCCAGGTATCCACCTGCCCGGCCAGCGGAATTTAGGGAATCACCGCCTTTGTTACTGGTCCAACCAGGTTTAACCCTAAGCCTACCTGCCCATCCAAGGTAGGGCAATCAAACCAGCCTTATTGGTTCAAGGTCCAGCAGGGACATCAAGGTAGGGCAATCAACCAGCCTATTGTCTCAAGGTCCAGCAGGACATCAAGGTTTAGGGCAATCAACCAGCCTTATTGTCTCAAGGTCCAGCAGGACATCAAGGTAGGGCAATCAAACCAGCCTTATGTCTCAAGGTCCAGCAGGACATCAAGGTAAATCAACCAGCCTTTTTTGTATCAAGGTCCAGCAGGACATCAAGGTAGGGCAATCAAACCAGCCTATTGTCTCAAGGTCCAGCAGGACATCAAGGTAATCAACCAGCCTTATTGTCTCAAGGTCCAGCGGACATCAAGGCAGGGAAAATCAACCAGCCTTACTGTCTCAAGGTCCAGCAGGACATCAAGGGCAATCAACCAGCCTTACTGTCTCAAGGTCCAGCAGGACATCAAGGTAATCAACCAGCCTTACTGTCTCAAGGTCCAGCAGGACATCAAGGTAGGGCAATCAACCAGCCTTATTGTCTCAAGGTCCAGCAGGACATCAAGGTAGGGCAATCAACCAGCCTTATTGTCTCAAGGTCCAGCAGGACATCAAGGTAAATCAACCAGCCTTATTGTCTCAAGGTCCAGCAGGACATCAAGGCAGGGCAATCAACCAGCCTTATTGTCTCAAGGTCCAGCAGGACATCAAGGTAGGGCAATCAACCAGCCTTATTGTCTCAAGGTCCAGCAGGACATCAAGGCAGGGCAATCAACCAGCCTTTATTGTATCAAGGTCCGCAGGACATCAGGAAGGGGCAATCAACCGGGCTCTATTGTATCAAGTTCCAGCAGGACATCAAGGCAGGGCAATCAGTAGTTAGTCGCTTCAGCAATGGGAGAGGAAGAAAGCCCATCTACCTCCCCTCTCATCTCCATTCTCTCCTCTCCACTCTCATCTCTCTTTCCTCCCCTCTCCATCTCTCTTCCTCTCCCTCTCCATCTCTCTTCCTCTCCCTCCTCTGCACCAGAATGACAGTGGTCTCCGTGCCATTATCTACTCGGAAGGAGTATTAATCATCTGATGGCCTGCATTGTGTGTGTGTTTTTCTCCCAGAGGTTTTTTGAGAACCTGAACCCGATGGGCAGTCTGGGTGAGAAGGAGTTCTCGGACTATCTGTTCAACAAGTCTCAGGAGATCGAACCTCGTAACTGCAAGCAGCCGCCACGATTTGTAAGATTGATTGATATGTATCGTCCCTCAGGGTGATCAGTTCTATATCAGAAAACTGGAGCAGCAAGTTGAAAAACAATGAGAAACATTTAAATTGGAATTTCAGATTACTTCCTGAATTGACATGGAATCAAACACCACCATAAACTCCTGTCCCTGTGCAGAAAATACTTTCTTCATAAATACATCTATCTTTTAACAAAGTGCTAAACAGTTACCAGGTCCTTAACCCTCATCTGTTTCCCCTCCTCCAGCCCAGGAAGACCATGTACCCCCTGAAGTCCCCGGGGATCCGGCCGGTGCGTACCTCTACATCAGGGACCCTGAAGGGCCACCCCGTACCCCTGGAGAGAGAGCCCCCCCACAAGATCACCTTCAGGAGCATCGCTGAGACGGAGCCTGAGACCTCCACAGCCTCAGTCCCCACCTCGCCCAACACCCCCACCCCCCCACAGTCTGCTTGCTCAGACCTCAGCTGTGTCTTCATGGAGCAAGACCTATGCAGCTCCTACGGTGAGACTGGGGCAGACACACACACACACACACACACACACACACACACACACACACACACACACACACCACACACACACACACACACAGACAGACACACACACACACACCAATGTTCAAGTGCACACACACACAGTTGTACATCAATACACACAGTACTTCAATACACTGAACAGTATATCTGGTGAAACACTGTGAACAGTATATCTGGTGAAACACTGTGAACAGTATATCTGGTGAAACACTGTGAACAGTATATCTGGTGAAACACTGTGAACAGTATATCTGGTGAAACACTGTGAACAGTATATCTGGTGAAACACTGTGAACAGTATATCTGGTGAAACACTGTGAACAGTATATCTGGTGAATGAAACAGTGAACAGTATATCTGGTGAAAACACTGTGAACAGTATATCTGGTGATAAACACTGTAACAGTATATCTGGTGAATGAAACCAGGTGAATCACTATTCTGTTAACTCCATGTGAACAGTTTACATCAGGTGGAAACTCTGTGTACATGTATCCCCCCTCTGGTGAGACTTATTGGAGTAACGGATTCATGCCTTTCATCTGTTACGGTGTCTAACTTCTGTATGTGGTCATGTCTGCATCAGGTTTGGTCTTCTATTCGCCCCTGTCCCGTCCGGTGCCCCTCATGGTTGTCCTTTTATGGTTCTGTATGTGTGGCGTCTGGTCTGGCCTGTCTCGTCTGTCCCGTCTGGTCTGTCCTGTCCCGTCTGTCTGTCTGGTCTGTCCTGTCTCGTCTGTCCCGTCTGGTCTGTCCTGTCTGTCTGTCCTGTCCCGTCTGTCGGTTTGGTGTTTAGGAAACAGCTCCTTAGCTTGATGAACAAGAACAGCCTTCCCATGGGAGGATGTGGTACCATCTTGGGCCCCCACCCTGCTGTGTGGAGTCCCCTGCTTGAGCCCCTGCGGGTAGAGTCCCCCTGCCCCTGCTGTGTAGAGTCCCCCTGGAGCCTGTGAAAGAGTCCCCTGCTGTGTGGGTCCCCCTGCTGTGTGAGTCCCCCTGCTGTGTGGAGTCCCCCTGCTGTGTGGAGTCCCCCTGCTGTGTGGAGTCCCCCTGCGGTGGAGTCCCCTGCTGTAGAGTCCCCCGCCTGCTGGTAGAGTTCCCCCTGCGTGAGTCCTGCTGTGTGAGTCCCCAAGTCCCTGCTGTGTAGAGTCCCCCTGCTGTGTAGAGTCCCCTGTGTGTGGAGTCCCCCTGCTGTGTAGAGTCCCCCTGCTGTGTAGAGTCCCCTGCTGCCCCTGCTGTGTAGAGTCCCCCTGCTGTGTAGAGTCCCCCTGCTGCCGGCCTGCTGTGTAATCACCCTTGCGGTGGATTCCCGGCCTGCTGCCCCTAGCCTGGTGTAGAGTCCCCACTGCCTGTGTAGAGTCCCCGGGCGGTCTGTGTGGATCCCCGCTGGTAGAGAGGGTCCCCGGCGTCCCCCCGCTGGCCCCTGCTGTGTAGAGTCCCCCCCCCCTTGCTGTGTAGACGTCCCACTGCTGCCACTGACTGTGTAGAGTCCCCCTGCTGTGTGTAGGAGTCCACCCTGCTGTGTAGAGTCCCTCCCATGATGTTGTAGAGTCCCCCCCCCCCCCCTCAGTCTACTGTATGAGAACTGCTGGTGTTAAAAGTGCTTCATAAATA